CGATCATAAAGGCGAATTGTTCTGATCCGGGGGATCACAACACTAGGTAGAAAAATGGGTTGGTTTCGTTGGACCCACATGCGACAATATCAGTAAAAATGATGGGCGCATTACTGTTTTCAATACGCTTGCGATAACACTATGCCTTATCGATTACGTCAGATGCTATCTCTCGTTAAAGAGCATCCTAAGTACGATGTAGTCTCCAGTCTGGTATCATAGAGGAAACTCAATTAGGATTTCCAGATCAGGTAACAGCGTGTAATGATTTGGTACGTCGATGAGGTTTATCGCTATAAATTAGTTGAAAGTTCTCATTCTCTTTCATCATAAATGTAAATTTGTCTTCGTTGATGTCTTTGACCGTAAGAGATAAAATTCTGTGTAAATGCTGATACTCTTGGACATCATTCCACGATATCCCTGCAAGGAGATAGTCCATTGAACCCTTAAAAGAAGATGACGAGCTCGCTAAGATACTGCTAGGGGGCCTTATCACATCTGTAAAGACTAACCACAAATTAAATTTGACTCGTCTACTTTAATCATTATGAAATTACACGAGTCTAAGAGTCTTACTCAGGCAGTAGAGTTGTGGTAGCTTCGCTACAAAGACTATCAGCCGCAACATGTCAGGAAAACATGTCTTGACTGTCTCTCAATATACTGAGAATATATGGTGTCAGCGTATCGGTTAGCGTCAGATACTGGAAGAGATCTGACACACCTACGGGCTTTGTGCCACACATTGACAGTGTAGCAATTACAAAGGCGGTAAATTAATAATTGGATCTTCTTTGCTTCTAGTTTTGCTGATAATCACGTACACGCTACATGTGTGCTTGTGACACTGAATCTAGTTGATAGATTCCACACATCGATAAACGGATCAGCTCTTTCAGCAAAAATGTAGTGACACATATGCGCAAATTAATACAGAATAGACTCAGTGTGTACGAATGAAATGGACACTCAAGCCTTCCCATTACCGTCATTTCACAGATAAAAAGTCAGCATGAATTTGGTCGTGGAGTGTGTATAGATAACATAAAAATCGTGTAAAGCCACCAGTCTAGATGCGACATGGGCTGACAGGAACGGCAAAGGAAAAACATGAAGCAAGATCAGCATCGTTTGTATTGTGCAGAGCGTGCACAGGGTTGTCAAGGCGAGCTTTCCAGGCACGAGCGTAGCATAGACTTGATGCAAAAGAGTTGTAAAAACAAGATGTAGTGCATCATCAAGTCTTATTGTAACATTCATTGCGTAGTTCAAGCAACTGCAACTGTCGCCTGCGGCAGGTTATTCCTCATAGAAAACGAGTGTGACACGGAGGCTTCTTCTTTTATCGTGTTTAATAAAGGTGGACTCAGTACCGAAAAAGGCGATATTCTCGCACAAGAAAAGTGCAGGCGCTCGTAAACATGATCTTGTCTTTTTAGATCCTGTCAAAAATACATTTTCCGAAGCAAAGAATTACTCAATTATTGGCTGATACCAGAAAGTCAATTTGCATCAATGCTCATCTCTTTGATGTTTATAGCGTTTCTGTGTAAAATGACTTTCACAAGCTAGAATGAGTAAGAGGAGTGAAACGAATTGCACAGTAACGATGACGTAGTAATACTACCAAAATCAATCATAGTGTACGATACAGCGACACAAAAACATATCGGACAAACATGTGGATCACCCCCTCACGAATCATAACCGAAATCGTTAATGGCTAATGATTATGGCTCTACAAATAGGAAATAAACTGATAGGAAGCAAGGTCTACAGCTCGTCTTTTGATATAATTAATTCAGACTACATGACTTAATCAAGTTTTGTATATTTACGTAACCACTGGGAAGTGGTGGCGGTGAGAAATGGGTTGTGGTGTGCATTAAGCAAAATAATAGTGCTAATGGATTATGCATATCATATCCACTCTTTACTGTCGTCGACTTTTAAAACAAACGGATATTTAAAACGAAATACGGGGATGTTCCTGCTCGGTAATGCTGTAAACAAACAAAGCGCGGCTAACCACGAATAAAATCGAACAATGAAGGGAAATTACGAGAGTATGATCTGCTACCGAGAGAAAACTTTAGCCATATCTTCGACTAGGTGAGCATATCAAGTTCATTGGATTCGAGAAAACCATACACAGTGTTTGCAAAAGGTACGGGATTTTTGCTGCCCCTAAGTGTCTAGCATCTGCTTGTTATCCCTTTATCCGGCCTTTATCAACTAGCCGACCACTCGCGGATATTCGAGCTTCTGTGAGCATTGATACTCTGAACGCGTTCGCAATCAGTGACCGAATTACAGAGTATCAACTACCGTTTCTATCGACATACGAGGGGGTATAGTTACTTCATCAAACTTGGTACGACGCGCAAGGTACATCTAGCTTTACTCAGCGACTCAATAGGTGGCAGGCCACATCGCACTTGGCACGACGCGTAAATTACTGAATACGTAAAAAACAAAGACACACATAGACAATATTGCGGATTCCAAGTTCGGGGTCCACCTTACGCAAAGTCGCTACTAGCTTGACCCTCCGGGTTCACAAAAATATAGAAATAATAAAGGTCTACCCTGATTCCGACAGATGGATGTAAATAAGCTAATAAAAAGTTATACTTGCCCATGCAAAAAAGATGGGCCACATTAATAAAAAATGATCAAATTTGTGGTGCGCAGGTAAGACCTTGAAAGCTCGACTGGTTAGTGCGCACACTGGTCAGTTCAAGAATAGAAAAACAAGAATTGCGGAAAAGTCGCGGTTTAATACGAAGTGTCAAGTCTATATCTGCCGTCGCACATAAATTGATACAACGGCTAACGATTTTGGCAATGCTTTTAATCTTGTAAGGCAATAATGCTGCTAGTGTGGCAGTTTCCTAGTGGCCTGTTGCTTGTGATAATATCTCGCACATCAAAGAAGTAGCAGAGGGCTTCTCTGCGTACCCGATAAATTCGGTGCAGTAGTTTGTATTCATCTAAGTTTCCAAGTAGTTTGAGGATTCGCGCCAACGTGCGACTACACCGCATCATTTGCGATACATCCTTCTGGATGGAGATTTACTAAAAAGCGGATCTTCAAAGCCCACTTCTTACGTACTACAGCCATATCAATGGGCGTCGCTCCATCTATCTGGACAGTACACCAATATGTGCCTACAGAGCAGGCTAAAGCCTTCTACGATATTATCTGCTGGTAGAAGCCGATTTTTTTTAGTCTTAAAGCGAAAGAATAATGAAGGTGCCCTCGCAAAACAATCTGCACCGTATAATTGGCACACTAAAGTGCGTAGGAACGTGCTATATAAAACTTTACCGATCCTAGTTTTCGATGCATAGAAAACAATCGGATACATTACTCGTCTGCAAATGTGATGTGTGGATGAAATTGACCTTTTTTCTTGCTCATGAAGAAAGATTTCTTCTCGCCCACTATCACATTGAAGCTAATTTTGTCGGGATGGCCTGACTGTAAATGTATGATAGCAACTTGAACATAAAATTGTCTACAGCCAAATTTTGCCAGAAGAATCGGACACGTGAATATCGAGATGGCGGAGAGGGTGCGAATTTGGGGGTCAAATGGTGTAGATATCAACCGTTTCGCTTTTTGGTGAGGAACACCGATTTTTGGCAGGTGGCAAATAAATATGGCAGTGGTAGTTGGTCGTTCTGATGATCGTAAAAAAGATGATCTCAAACACATAAGATAGATCTGATAAGAATTTGCAGTCTACCGAACTCAAAAAAATTTGGTCGGTATGCTGACAGGGCAGCAATTTTCATCATACATATCGATACATATACTGCAACTTGTACGCAACTTGAAGTCAGCTCCGAACCTCTATTGTATACGACGGAATGAGGCTTTCTCGCTTATAAAAGCGCTTAAAAATCGCTGATTGTCTCGCATAAGGCTCCGTCCCGCGCATGATGGAAAATGATTGGCCAATTCCGCGTTCTATCCCGCGCAGGACGGGCTGGAACGCAGGATACTACATGGCGAGATCATCGAACGATTTAGCCTACATATCTCATAAACAACTAGATCTGCACACACACGATCTCCTTCATATGTGACGAGGGACCAAAGAATGAGGACGATAGTAAAACGGTATGCTACTTTGCTCTAGGATCAATATTTACCTTGCAAAAATTAGCTTCGAAGCTAATTGCCTTATCCACTCGATATTAACCGGTGCTGTGATGACACGCTCGTATAAGCCGGGCTATTGTTAAACGTGGTGGTAACGAATTTGTGGAGATTCACAACAAGAATCAACATTACTACAGTAGAGTTAGAGTGATTAGCAACATCTTAAAGCATGGCCTTGGCAAGAATTCTAAGCTATTCCAATTCCCCACTTCTAAAAAAGATCCAGGGTACACAAAGACTGCTGATTGACTGATACGTTTGAAAGTGTATCACTGGCCCAGAACAGCCGAGTTCGTCAATGGGTGATAGTACCACGAGCAAGTTTGTAGGTGACGGCGGGCCCAGTGAGGGGCTCCCTTGGATGAGACGACAAATTCTGCGCCTACGAGCAGCGACAATTGCGCGATTTCTGACAATGTCCTGCCTGGACGGGCGAGTCACCCGCTCCGGCAACTACTGGCGTTTGGGGTCCAGAGCAAGTATTTAACCTAAAAGAAGGCTTGCAACATCAAGCAACATTTCCGCCAAGGCCTGTTAAGGGGGTAGAGGCTCGAAATTGGTATGGCTCGGAGGCCCACGAGAACGATCATCGTACCTTGTATGATTGCGCCCGGACCGCGTGTCGCTATCTCATGGTTGGTGTTTGGAGGGAAATGACGGAAAATGAGCATCTTGCACTTCTGGCATGGCTTCAAAGGGTGATTTTTCTTCCGACACCTCCACTTTTTGTCACCGAGACTCACGTCGGAGATGAACGCGATAAATTTTTCTTGTACCATTGCAGCGGCTCTGCCCACGGTTGTATGGGCGTCTTCCTGTCGGGTATATGTTACCAGCAGCTGGAGCCAACCTTTATCTCTGTCGCGCTCTTTTGGCGGGAGCTTCCTCGGACGAAGAAATTACACGCGTCAAAGGAGTTTTTACTGCAGCATATCGAATTGAATGCTCGGCGCGCTCACCTTTTGTCGAGTTTGTGTTCATGTATCCGGAAGCTCATGTGGAATGGTCCAACGCAGCCTTTGGTATCAAAAAAGGGAACTTCCAGCTCCAGGCAACCAAAGCAATTGATACGGGCTGCAAACCTACTGGTTACGACAGGCATTCCCATGCACTCTTCTATAGTTTCCACGTGCTCAGCATGAGCTCCGCAGATCCCGCGATGATTCGGACTGCGATGACGGCTACTATTCCGGCACCAATAGTATCGATCGAGTCCGTTGAACCCGAGAGTGCATCCGAGTTCGGCATTAACAAGTGGGCGGTCACCTTTGCGAATACTATATGTCCTGAAGGGCTCAAGCGGAAACGCACGCTAGAAGTGACCACCAATGATTCTGTTCTTGAGATGGGCGTTCATCACCCGCGGACCGGCTATCGCATCCCGTGCAGGGCTTGTCTGAGTACCAGACATAACTTTAACGACTGCAAGTCCTCCAACCCAGCCCCATCCGCAGCGTCCTTCACCGAAAATGTGACAGTCGCTCCAACATTCCCTCCAGAGTTGCTCGTCGCCCCAAACGTAGATGACCAAAGGTTGATCCTTTTCATGTACAACTCGCACCAGAGGTGCATCACCGCCAACAGACCCAAAAGGCGGCTACTGTTCGTGCTGAGACTCGAAGACCAGCCAAGGCAGTCGCCAAAGCAGCTGTTCAAGCTGCTCGCCTCCGCAACACCGAAGTTCAACGAACACGCGCAGCTGCTGGAAAACAACGGAAAATAGCAGCACAGGTCAAAGCTCAGGCGGGAGAGGATATCAACAAACAGATTCTTTCACTCCGGAACGGATCGATGCCATCACCGTTCGGCCGTGGTCATGTAAACAACTGCACATCCCCGATTCCACAGGCTCCTCACCCGGAGGCCGCAAGGGAGACGACCTTTCTCCGGTGGGAGAAGACACTGGCGTTCCGTCTTCTGACAAGGGAACAGGGGTCAATATCGGGACAACAGCTTGTGGCATGGATCACATCAACTGCGGCGAGACTGGTTCTAATGATCCTCTACCATGTGGCTCCCCAACCTGCGTGGAAGAAGCAGTGATGACGCATGCAGCACGGACGTAAGTGACTGGGAACGGGATGGGTGTGATGAGATACAGCCAAATGTCAACCCCTCGTGCGAAGACAGCTCCGGGGACACGATGATGGAGTCCATCATAGCTATGTACGACACGTTACGACTGGTGGATCTAGACTCAGGAACTGAATTCTCCGAAGATCAAGACGGTGACAATATAGAATCGTCCGCAAACAAGCTGGCTAAGTGCCATTCACTTTTTCTCGCGCTTTAGAGGCCACATTCGAACATACCCAAGCGATAGAAATTGTCGGTCTGGCGAACTTTTCTCAAAAGGCACCCCGCCTTCTCCAATCACAGTGTTCGAGTCTAACGAGGCTCAAAGCGCCCAGAGGCAAGCTAACTCCCATGAGAGGACGATGTCGGCGCCGCGTGCACGCAAGGCTCCTGCTGCGGCTTCACCAGCGATAACGATGGCGGCTGCTTCACCTGCACCCCGATCGTCTACGGCAGCAAGCGGTACTGCGGTCACTCGTTTGCGTATCGAACATCAAGCCGAAAATCTGGTCGCCATGAAAACACGGATCACTTCACGCAAGCGCAGTGCACAACTACCTGATTCAATGCCACTTTTGAAGAAGGATATAACTTACTGGGTTATGCACTGTTCTCCTGAGTAAGTGATCCTCCAACGGTCTCTACCTCACCCTAGTGATTTTCTCCAACGAATGCCGCAGGATTTCTTTCTAAACTTCGGACACGCCATCAACAGCGATTCACAATTGATGGTGACACGGCGGTACGCCAAGGACAGTACCCTGTCGGCAAGAATATGCGACATCTGCACGAGGTGGAATACAATAGCTTTGGCAAATACAGCTGAAGTTCGATGGAGGACCACTGACTCTATCCAGATGTGGAGACGGGTAGGGACGATAAATGGCAGCCTCACCTGCCCAACCATCACACAACAAGTCGACACCGCAGAATGGGGGGCCCTAAATGCTATTTGTGTCCTCCTCCCCACCTTAACTCCATTTGACCCGACGACAGAGGTAGTCCTGTCCCAGGATCTATCGTCACTTTATTTCTCGTCCCCTGTGGTGCGTGAAGCGGTCGCAGGATCCATCAGTTCTCCAGCACACTGGCAAACGTTTCTTAATCTACTACAGTCGGCGAATCGGGCGCTCCAGCCCCATTACTAAGGGCACCTTAATCACCACTGCTGCTGGTCCAACTGCTCCATTAGACCAGAACCAGCGGGCAAATCACTATTTCGGCCCAGGGTCCCGGCAACGTCAGCCCCGTCCGCTTGACAACACCATCGGTTTACACACCCAAAACGTCGAGGGGTCCCCAAACACCCAACTCGATGTGCGGAGTGGTTCTCTCATTCCGACAACGCAGTGATCGTGGGTTCAAAGATTTAATTCTTTTACAAGAAACTAGAATTCTGGGAGGGGAAGCATGCGAGATGGATGCGCTGTACAACAAAACATGGGGTTTTGACACGGAGGACAGACGAGGGATGACTATGTGGACTGAGATGGAGTCGCGACGAGGAGGGGTCGCAATCCTACTTATCCCATACTCATTTGGGGTAACTCAGATCGTTCCGTGGATGGAGGAACTATGGACGGGAAACTGGATGGCGGCACTATTCACACAAAATGAGAGTGTCTTTGTCGTAATAAATGTGTACGCCCCGAACGTCTATAGTGCGCGTGAGGCGCTGTTTCAACGACTTGCATCTGTGCTTCCGCTACATGATGGGCCAATAATCAAAGGCGGTGAATTCAACTGTACGTTGAATGCACAGCTCGACCGTTCCTTTTCAGTACCTGGAGGTCGCCATGACTCGCCTTCCCTACGTGGACTAATTGAACAGATAAGCGTGATTGATGTACTAGATGAAGCATTGAATCGAGCGGCCGATGATCGTAGATATCGAGACTTATATGCAAGGACTCACACATGTTTCTATTAACTGCCCATGGGCGGTACCGCGAGTTCTCGGCTAGATCGGTGGCATATTAGCATACAACACAAGTCGTGGAATCGCGATTTAGAGCAATCTGTACCGGGTCCACTCGCGGACCATAACGGCGTTATTGTGCGGATTAGTGCTCCCTCACAGACGGTTACAGTACGGAAACTTTGGCGGGTATATCCGGTAGCTTCCTGTGCTGATTAATCGGTTCGGCAACTCGTCGAACGCGCTCTTTAAGAGGCGAGCCTTTTTGTTGACAGCACTGCCGCCACTGACTTCTCGGATATATCGGCTGCTCAATTGTTGGCCTCCTGGTTGGACCGGTGGAAACTTGATCTTCGCAAGGACATGTTGGCCGAGACACGCCGTGTTAAACGTAGCATGGTTAGAAGCTACCGTCAACAGCTTCGTCGCCTTCATCGACGGCTTCAGGTGTCACTAATGAACCCCACAGTCCCGGATATAATGTCGCCCGCTCCCACTGCACATGACAGGGCACACGAAACTACTACTGAGATTATTAAAAACGACGTCACGACCTCCCAAGATATTCGCAGACGCTAATTAAAGTGTCGTCTTCGTTGGCAACGTACAAAAAAAACTACTTCTACTACAGCATATGTACTGCCCTCCGCGGAGATTTTTTGCTCGAATATCTACAAAAGTTCAGGTTAAAACGATTATTTCACTTGGTGGCGTGGCTTCTTGCGGACCTAAATGCTCGCAGGAGCTAGCTGACGAGACGTCTGATGGATAAGCGGGTGTTATGCAGCGATTATCAGACACGCCCCTTTAAAGTGTAGCTTCTTACGAGGGCCTGTTCCCATACCGACCTGTATGACACAGCAATCATAGCTCCGATTACTACGGATGATATCAGTGATGCTTTGAGAAAACACAAACGCGGAAAATCTTCCGGACCTGATAAAATTGGCAACTCTTTCTATCGTGATATCGCTTCGGACTTTGCTACCATTCTGGCCCCACTTTTTTCGCGGTGGTTTAACCGTGGAGTAGTTCCGAATTCCTTTGGTGAAGCTAACATCCAATGCCTTCAGAAATCAGCGCTTGCGGCATTGCCACTCGATCATCGGCCTATCGCCCTCCCCAACAGCGATTATAATTTGTTTGCAAAGATTTTGGCAGGGCGGCTTTCTACCATTCTACCAACGACGATTGACGACGCCCAGGTCGGGATCGTGCCTGGTCGCTCTATTGCGACAGCTCTCGACATCGATGCGACAGCCAAGATAGCAGCAACGACCGAGACCACGCAGCATGGCTCTATAGCGCTGTTACTCGATTTCACCAAGGCGTAAGATTCCTAGCAATGTCTTTTTCTTCTTACTGTGCTCAAGTGGCTTGGATTTTCGCAGCATTTTATTACAATTGTCGGGGTACTTCATCAAAATACGACTTGCCGTTTTTTAGTGAACGGTTTTAGGTCCAAGCGACGTGATGTGCTGTGTGGAATACGGCAAGATTGTCCCATGGCTTCTCTACTTTTTATTCTTGCGCTTAATAGCCTATACAAGGTTATGCGAGCACGCCCTGACATTGAAAGAATAGTCCTTTGATCAGGTGACCATGCAGAGACGATTTCAGTGTCTGGCTATGCGGACGACACGGCGCTCTACTTGCGTGGTGGTATTCACATCCCTACAACCCTGGACATCCTCGACGCCTTTTCCGGGTATCTGGTCTCACGATAAACAGCACTAAATTCATAGTCTCAGTGTTGGGACCGTATGATCCGGGGCGGATAGTTGAATCTCAAGGTCTTTCGAAGATTGGGCCAATGAGCTATGCCGTTATCTAGGGGTACAGGTGGGACAGGGCGACACGACGGAAGCAAACTGGACCCAATCTCTTGATCCTTTCATTATCGACTCGCTTTGGCTCGTATAAAGACTCACACCGTGGAGCAGAGGGCGTGCCTAGCGAACGCGATAGCAATACCTGAGATACTTTACGTTGCGCGACACTGTTGGCCTTCCTCGCGTATCATTATCGAGCTTCAGGGTTTTATTAAGGACTTCGCATGGGCAAACGCAATGGGCGACGCTCGCGCCGCTGGGTGCAAGAAGAGCACGGTTCACTACCGCTTCAAGATGGCGGTATGTCTATCCCGTGCGTCCGCACAGAGTTAATTACGCTTGCAGTCATGACGGTTGGCAAATGGGCCACAACAGCCTCCCCCAGGGATCTTGTGGTATGCGATACAATATGGGGCTCTGGAGACTCACGCCTATTATACATTACCCCGCACAGGGGTCCGGAACCAAAGCAAACCATATCTGCTACCCAATGGGAGACCAGTGCCAACGCATCTGCGGTCTCCGCCGCGGAACACGCGGGTAGGCGCGATGTGACGGCTGTGAGAAAGCGGGCGGATCTTTTTGAAACCAGAGTGATGACCACTTATGCTGAGGACGGGGGTGTCATCGTTTAGGCCCGGGCTTTGCTGGACCTTTCGACTCGCAACGATATTTTGGAGGAGGAATCCATACTTGGACGTTGCAACACAAATTGGCTGAAGCATGCAGCTCTCGGGACCTTAACTTGGTTCCTTGACGCTCGCGGAGGATTCTGTCAGATAAACAATGCCAGCTTTGCACGTGACAAAACCACGCTAGGTGACGTTCTCTCCTAAACGTGGACTACAATGGGTATAGTCCAATTTACACCTAGCAACAGATCGCTCACTACACTGCCAGGCAAAAAAGACAGCTTGGACGATTCTGTCAGGCTCTAATTTTCGATTACCCGTCTCTCCTCTACCGGCCTATGGGGGCTGCCATTTTGTGCCCGGTCTCGATTGATGTCCCTAGGCATCACACCTGAACGTAAAATAGTACTGGCATGGTCGCTTAGTCACTGGGATCATGGCCAGCCGTGCTGCTCGGCGCCAGTGCGCTCTATGTAAGAGTGCGATCAGGCAGCGACTTGCGCCAACGGATTACCGATCCGTTTTGCGTCGCATCCATCGCTCACACGTATCGTACACATATGGATTGGTCGAATGAGATGGATTCCTCGCCAAAAAGACTTCAATGCGTCCATTGTAAAATTGAAGCGTAGAATTGGCGTACCACAACGGGATAAACGCATGACGGCAGTCGATAATCTTGTCATATCTCAGGGTGCCGCTTAAAAAGATTGGAAAGACCTACGCAGAATCCGAGCAACTTTCCGCAGGTCACACGGACATTGTTCCGCCTGAAAGTCAACTGTTTTCCCCTATAGAATTGGGCAGCAGGGAACCGCTCGTGTTCTTAATTATAATGTCTCCCTGGAGATCCCGCGCCTGCAAGTCACGTCTTTTGGACGTGTGCAGCGGCCCATAGTCATTGGCAAACACCTATTACTACTGTGGGGGCATCTCAGGGGATACCCCGACGCTGACTATCACGTTTAAATTTTTGCGCTTGATTTTCCGGAAGGCCCGAGCAATGCGTGGGATGCGGCTAACGAATATTTTTATTTACTGAGAAAAAACATCGATAATCGAGAGGAATTATTTGCAGATGCGACAGAACTATGGAGATTCGTGGTCGCGACGACTATGCACACTATGTGGACCGAACGGCTACGTCGCATGGCGGACCCGAGCGTATCGACAGCTCAGCATTTGATGGCTGCCCGGAATAGCTTGAGGCGTTCCCTGACTCGTTTCCGCGGTTCGACATACTATCCAGGTGCCGTGACGGGGGCCAGACAAGGACCAGTGTACGATACGCTTTAGCGGATGCTCTGCTTCGCCACCTTACTCCAGCTCCATTACGGAATCTGTCAGCAGACGCGGGCCAGGATCTCCTTTTTCTGCTTTTATTCTTGGGGGCATCTCGAGGTAACCCAGGGCCAGGCGGAGCCAAATCGGTGGTTGTCAAAATAAACATGGATACACATGCGGCAGCGATCAGTTGGTTAGCCAGTATGGCTCTCAACTCCGCGCGCACGACAGAAGCCGTGGCTTCATATCACGGGCTCGTCAATGGCCTCCGACAAGCTAAGGTCCGAGCCTTTGTACCGCTGTATGTCGTCGAAGACAACAAGGCGATTATAAACCAGCTTCGAGTGCGTTGGTCACCAGTCCGGCCAAGGCTCTCAACTCTCTACCGGGAGGCCTGGGTGATCTCAGATGCTCTTTCTGTGGTTAGCTAAAGCCATCAATCCCGCGAGTACAACCTTATGGATGCCGGTGCAGCTACTGCTACAACTGCAAATGTGGAAGCCTTAGGGAGACGCACTCTCCAGACCGGGCCTTTCGCTTGCTCTGTTCGAGCGAGTATGGACCACGATATCAAGCACTGGTGCGAAATTTCGCTACCAGCAGAATTAGAGATTCAGTTAGGGTCTCCTGCGCCGCTTGCACGTCGTGCGCCTACCACCTGGTCTCCTAAACAGCACACCTCTGCCCTACACGGCGGAATTTGGGATTAGACCCTTACAATAAAGCGACATAGCCATTAGGTTGCTGTCGAACGGATATTTGAAGTCGGCGATCGTACTTCAATACACCTCACCACCCCAAAAAAAGCTATTTTAAATGCTCAAAATTGATTTCGACGTTTATAGTGGAAATGTGCAACCTCTTGACGAGGCTTTTGATCAACAAAGTTACTACCTTGAGATACCCTCAATCACCAAAGGTTGTAGTCGCGAGCCCCCATAAGGTTAAGGATGTCCATTGGAATGTCGCCAGGGGCAATCAAATCATCTTCACAAGCATTTACAATGCCTGGACGCATGCCTTGGCGAAATATCGAATAGTGACAATTAATACGGAATCTGACTATGAACACAAATAAAAATCGATGACGCTTTTATTTAACGCTCTCTTGATCCCCGTAGAATTTAATGATCGTAGATAATTAATGGAGTCCCAATGCTATCCAATAAAATAATTGTTATAGAATACGGGATGTGCAGGACGCACGGGATGGGATGCGGGATTCCACAGGATGGGACGCTGCGGGACGGAGCCCCTAGTCTCGCAGGCTTTACCAAGCAAAAAAGCACGCTCACAACACTCCTCGAACAATAGAGAAACCCTACCAAAACATTTAACATGCAGCGTTTTCTTGCTTCACCAGTCACACAATTTCCTGCATTTCAGTCCAAACTTTCCACTTCAGGATGGCCGAAGGTAAATGGCAGCTCGTCAGCCAAGGCGCTGAGGCGGTACGACCCGACGATTCCATGCACCACTTTTCATACGCTACTCCTGACAGCTCAATCATTTTTCATACTAACCAACACGCTAGAAAATCTTCGAGACGGAGTTTGCTGGCCGCGCGTGCATTATCAAGGAGCGCGTCAAGAAGAGCTATCGCCTTCCAGTGCTGGACAAGAAGCTCTCGCACCGCCGTCTCGTGCAGGAAGCTCGTTGTATACTGAAATGCCGTCGTGCTGGTGTCCTCACGCCCGCCATCTTTCTCGTGGACGAAGACAAGGGGCGCCTGTACCTGGAAAAAGTGCAGGGTGGCAGTCTAAAAACCTACTTGCAACGAGGTTACAAGCTCGGTACGCTCGAAGATGGACGGGATCTGCTCTTTTTGGGGAGTTTATTGATGTGTTCGTGTCGTTTCTTACGTATTGGCAGACCCAACGTATGGTCCCATAGCCTTGGAAAAAGCCTACCAGATCGGGGAAGCAATTGCCAAGATGCATGATGCAGATGTTGTCCACGGTGATCTGACAACGTCGAATATGATGCTGAGCAACGACGAGGCCACGAATGTGGTACGTGCACATGCTAGGATTACAATGTGTGTGTGTGTTGAACGTACAAGGTGATTGGTTACACAAGACTGCTTTCTTCGTGGGACGCAGACGATGATTGACTTTGGCTTGGCCAACTCGCAACCGCTCCCTGAGGACAAGGCCGTCGACCTCTATGTCATGGAGCGTGCGTTTGCTAGCACTCACGTCAACTCGGAGCTCTTGGTGTGTGTGTGTGTGTGTGTGTTATTGGCCGTGGGCGTTTGAGCAGAGACTAAATCGCTGACGCCACTTTGTGTGGTTCGTGTTCCATGGTCAGGTGGAAGAAGTGCTGCGTGCATACCGAGCAAAATCCCGTCGTTCTGACGCGATTTTCCAAAAGCTTTCTCAAGTGCGTATGCGAGGCCGCAAGCGTACAATGGTCGGATAGCTGACAGTTGCAGGGGTGAAGCGACAGTATCGGCTTTTGCAGTGCTGAAGAAACTAGAGACGCAGAAGTTGACTGCAGTGTGTCATGTCATGCATTAAATACCGACAACACAAACACTTAAACGCGGCTTGGGCTGGGAATGGTGTATGTAACCCTTGAAATGTTCTGTTGAACTCTCATCTATTGCAGAAATCCTTATCGTGTAGTGTGCACCAACGAGAGGACGCAGATCTGCTAGGAAAGCCAAGTACACGTCCACCCCCTATTTCTTACAAGTACAGATCCGTGAGTGCTCACGTCTTCTGCTTTTTGGCTGTACAATCATGAAACAAAATGAGTTCTTCTCGCACAAAAACAACAGCGACATACAAACAAGTCAATCCATCGTTCCCACCTGGCGGGACACCCTCCTCTTCGTCTCCATCTGCATCTTCGTTTTCCCCACTCTGCTTCTCATCATCCGCATCCTCGTCTTCGGCAACAGCCTGTTCTGCCTCCTCCTCGTCCCTATCGTCACCTCCTACTGCAGCATCAATTCCCTCCTCTTCTTCCTCACCTTCATCATCGTCGTCGTCGTCGTCCTCCTCCTCATCGTCACGAGCTGCCGCGTCCGCCTTAAAGTCTCCATCCTTTTCGTCATCCTCAAAGTCCGTATACAAGTACGACAGACCAACTTCCTCCTCCTCATCTCCATCATCATCACTCTCATCCTCATTCTCATCCTCTTCGCCATCCCTATTTTTCTCTCTGTCCCCTGCATCGTCCTCAGTCTCCCCTGTCGAGTCATGAGCACCGCCACTCTCCTCGTCGCTCCCAGCGTCTCTGTTCTCGTCTCCTGCATCTTCGGACAAGCGCTTCTCCAGATCTTTTGAGCCCACGGGCGTTTCCTGAACCCTCTCCCCTTCTGCAGCGGTTACCTGTCATAGATTGAAGCCATAGACAACAGTACACCCGGCATTTAACGTTAAGATACTCACTTGAAATGCAAAAAAGGTTCGTCAATGTCAGAGTTAGCAGCAGCTGGACGCTGCAGGTGGACTATATAGACACAGGACAATCAAGAGACGGGTACATACCGTCATTCTGGGCGAAGTATCCGGCGACGATCAAGTCGAAGTGGCTGGAAAAAAAGGATCGAACTTCTGCCGGACGCGAGAGTTTGTGTTGCTGGTTTTCGTGGGATGTTGTGATGTGGTGCACGTGACACACTTTGTATACAAAGCAGGATCACGTGGTGAATGGACGGGAAATAGTGACGTGGGCACAAGTCGTTGAAGCGAGTCTCCAGCGAATAGATTTTGTGGGTTTTACGCCAACCTTCGACCATCGTGCAACTGAAGGTTTTATTCGTCGGACAAGAGCTGGAACATGCGACGATTGGCTGACCGTTATCACATTTTGGTGATGGCTAAGTACACTTGTTCATTTCAAGTCGAGCATCGATATCACAATGAAGAACGAAGCTGTCAGTGGGAGCTACATTGACGGTCGAAAGCGTCACTGGTTGTTCTGAAAATACAGATTGGTGGGATCTGGTGCTGTATGGACGATTAAAATTTGGTACATCTCTCGTGCGCAGTCCTCGGTGGGCAATCAGACTTGGGTCCAAAATGTCATCACGAGTTAGTTATCGTACTGCATGTGTTGCATGTAACGGGGTGAATCGTTACATAACAATTTATAAGAAATTGCTAATAGAATATAACTATAAGAGTTATTGTATCAGAATATTGTCATAAGGACAAATATTCTGTAGCACTTACGAGTAGTTCCTAATTGGTTGATATAGGCCATTATATCAACCAACGAAGACGCGCCACGACAGACGCACGCAATGAGTGGTGAGCAGATAATTGATTTACACATTTGTATTTAGACATAGTTAGATGAAGATAAATAGTGATTTATTGCAGACATTAACTATACTAAATACAGTTCTACTTTTTACTTTAACCAAGTACTCGCTTCTTCTTACCGTCTTTGTAACGGGGTGAATCGTTACATAACAATTTATAAGAAATTGTTAATAGAATATAACTATAAGAGTTATATTCTCAGAATATTGTCATAAGGACAATATTCTGTAGCACTTCCAAGTAGTTCCTAATTGGTTGATATAGGCCATTATATCAACCAACGAAGACGCGCCACGACAGACGCACGCAATGAGTGGTGAGCAGATAACTGATTTACACATTTGTATTTAGACATAGTTAGATGAAGATAAATAGTGATTTATTGCAGACATTAACTATTATAAATACAGTTCTACTTTTACTCTAACCAAGTACTCGCTTCTTCTTACCGTCTTCCTCTGCACGTACGAGTGTACGTGAAGTTACGAGGCACCGCCTTATTCTGTTATCAGAATAAGTAGCTTGTACTGTCACCAGTACAAGCTTCAGGGTGCCCCGTTACACCTGGTAGCACTTCGTAGTCCGTCCAAGGACCGCGTTCACATCCAACATGAATATGTTGGATGATGAAGATGACCAAAGCTTTCACGCTACGCGTGACGGCTACTCCCATTTGAGCGATGTCGAATGGGATGCGGTTGAACGAATGGGTTCGACCATGGGCATCCATGCTGTTAGCGTCATGCTAGAGGCTCTCAATAGAGATGCCCAACATGCTACTATCGCCAAGTTCATTCAAAATGAACTTGACGCAGAACGCGAGAAAGTAGCCTTGCTTCACCAACAAGGTTCTCAACAAGCAGAGTTGTTGAGAGAACAAGGTGCTCAACAGTTTGAACTGTTGAGACAGCAGCAGGCTGCTGCTGGCGGGTCGATGCACTCGCGTCGGCCCGAGACTTTGAAGATTGACATCTCAAAGTATAGGGGGGTCGAAGAAGACTCCCTCTTGAGATGGTTCGTCGAATTGGATGACGCCATAAGGGCGCGTCGCATCGACGACGGGGATATGCAAGTTGCATTTGCCCAGTCAAATCTGGCAGGACGTGCCAAGACTTGGGCACTGGGGCTCAAGCTGCACGACCCATATGCGTTTGGGTCGTTGGAAGTCTTCAAGTCGCGGCTCAGACAAACGTTTGAACCGCCTAGAGCTGAGTTCAGAGCTCGAACCGAACTCTTGAAGCTCAAGCAGGGTAAGCGTGATGTGCACGCTTACGCTCAACATATACGACATCTCACGAGTTGTATAAGTTCCAATCCGGTGGATGAACACACGTTGGTTTCGGTGTTCATGCAGGGTCTTGCGGATGGTCCCGTCAAGACTCACCTGTTCCGGCTTGAACTAGATTCACTAGAACAAGCCATTTCAATTGCGGAGCAGGAAGACTTCAGTCTGAGACAGGCTCGCGCCAGCTCGACATCATATCGTCAACCGAGACGATATGACAACGGAGGTCCAGAGCCGATGGAACTCTGTTATGTAGAGAGCGAGAAGGCTCGCTCTACAGGCTACAAGAAGTTGCAGAGATGCAACAGATGTCAAAAGACAGGACACTACGCTTACGAGTGTAGTGCCCCTCGTCCAGTGTCTCGCGACACTGGGCGTAGTGACCGTCCACCCATGAGAAAGGGGCAAGGACGAGGGTCCGCAGTTGGTGCAAAGACGCAACAACGGGATGGACCGTCAAAAAACGGACAGGATCAGTAGGTGCGGAGCACCCTACTGATCCAGCAACGTCAAGAGAATTTGTAGGCCTCTTGATGAAGGTTGCTCCCAACACACAAACGTTGTGCGTTGCTGCTCTAGGTAATGAGATCTCACTCATTACCTTGAAACTCGAAGTGACGAATAAGTTGTCCCTTCGAGCTCTAGTCGATTGTGGGGCGTCCAACAATTTTGTGCGACGCCAATCGCTAGAAGATGGTCACTTTAAATTCAGTGAATGTGACACACCTCCTACGAGGATGACGGTACGTCTTGCGACAGGCGCATCCGTAACCGTCATGAAGCGTATAGTGAAGATTCACTATACGCTAGAAGATACCCAATACGACGATGACTTTATCGTATTGGATTTGGATGACAAATTTGATGTCATCCTTGGAATACCGTGGCTCAGAAGGTACGAACCACGGGTAAACTGGCAACATCGGACAGTAACGATGCCTGCCGCTTGTTCATCAGATGGCCATCTGATGAACGTTTTGGAGCGTCCACAAGCGTGTGGATGTACTACGAGTGAGTGCGATGGCCTCACTTGTGGTACGGTCGTTAGTACGACTGCACAAAACCTTAGTGTACCAAACGGTTACACTTCGGAGCAAAGTTCCGGCGGCTGTGAGGAAACACAGGCTGCGCCGAAGGTCCACCACTCGAATAAGTCGGGTGGACTGGGACAAAGATGTATCCCTAGAGGGGAACATCTAGAAGAGAAACAATCGATCGCTCAGGTTAAGCGAAACGATAATCCTAGATCGACTGGAGAGTCTTTCGTAGAGGATCTCGCTGTGGTTGCGCAACCCCAGCTAGAGGAAGTAAAGGGAATAAGTCCCAAGATTACAAATACGGCGGAAATAAGTTCCCCGAAACCCGCGGGAATAAGTCCCCGGGAAGACGAAGGAATAAGTCCTTCGAAGCCTGAGGGAATAAGTCCCCAGGAAATGACAGAGACATTGAATGTCATAGTCAATAACGGATCATGTGTAGGCGCTTATACACTTGATCTGATTGCGCCTCCGAAGTTAACTTCGGAGATCACTCAGTTGCCAACGCTCGAACATAAAAGGTTCTTGCGTGATCTGCGTAGTGGCAAAGTCAAGCAGATCTGCATACTCGTCGCTGACGACGAGTATGTAACCGACATAAGGTCAGCAACAGTGTTTACTGAGAACGAGAGAGTTCTCAGTAGTTCATCTATGGACGAGAGTGTCCTAGATGAAAAGACACGAATTGAGCGATATGAGTCCCAATCATGGGAATCGCTCAAGGAAAATCCTCTCTATGAAGATTTGGTTGAATTCAAGGATGTATTCCCTGAAACTGTTCCGTGCGAATTACCGAAGGATAAAGGTATTCGACACGAAGTCGAGCTTAAACCAGGCTCGAAGTACTGTGTCATGAAGCAGTGGCCACTGCCTCGTGAACAAGTACTTGCGATCGACAAGTTCTTTGCCGATCGTTTAGCAGCGGGCCATGTGAGGGAATCAACTTCCCCACATAGCTCTCCGACCTTCTGTGTGCGAAAAGCAACAGGAGGGTGGCGGATAGTGCACGCGTTTAACAAATTGAACGCTGCAACGGTACCGGCTCAGACGCCGATACCGAGGAAGGACGTAATCATTGATGGTATGTCAAAGAGTACCATCTTTTCGTCCATGGATTTGATGGATGGCTTCTATCAAATCCTAATGCGGAACAGGATATACCCTATACCGCAGTTAGCACGCCTAGCGGCATGCTCTGGGAATGGCTAGTAATGCCACAAGGGCTCAGTAATGCCCCTGCCACGTTCAACAGATGTGTATCACATCTGTTGAGACCAGTACGAGAGTTCGCGCCGAGTTATTTCGATGACGTATTCATCCATAGTCGAGCTATGGATGGAAAGTCGGACGTTGAGTTCACAGGTACCACGTCCGACAAGTTCTTACAATCATGCGAAAGCATCAATTGTATGCTAACCTCAAGAAGTGTATATTTGCAGCAAGCGAAATACCACTTCTTGGGTGCATCGTTGGTAAGAACGGTGTACGTCCTGATCCCGAAAAGATCAAGGCGATCACCGACTGGCCTGTGCCGGTCGATGTCAAAGGTCTTCGAAAATTCCTTGGGCTAGCGGCGTATTTGCATAAGTATTCACGCAATTACGCCGAGATGACTGTACACCTCTCTCGTTTGTTGAAAAGAACGAGAGGTGGTTATGGAACGCTGAATGTCAACGCTCCTTTGAGGGTATCAAGCAGAGCTTGATACAATCCCCAGTCCTAGCAATAGCCGATCAGGACAGGCCATTTCATGTGGTCTGTGATGCCAGCGATTTCGCAATCGGCTGTGCATTAATGCAGTACGACCTTGAAGGCGTTGAACGCGTCGTCTGCTATCAGTCGCGTCAGCTGCAACCAGCTGAGCGGAACTATCCAGTGCATGACAAGGAACTCCTCGCCATGAAGTATGCACTCGCGAAGTTCAGAGTCTATCTATTAGGAGATAGACCCTTCGTTGTTTACACTGACCATGCGTCCTTACGCACGGCAGTGAACAGCCCGCACCTTTCACAACGAATGGCGCGGTGGTTGTCATTCTTTGCAGAATACAACTTTACGGTCGAGTACAAACCAGGACGACTTAATGTCGTCGCTGATGCACTCTCACGTCGTCCCGACTTTGAAACAGTCGCGAAACCCAACAGTGAGACAGTCACTGTTGCGGTTATGACGTCCTCAATTCCATCTACAACGTTGTATGATGATGTGAGGCGGGCATACGCCCAAGATGGTGAGATAGTGAAGTTGTTGTCACATCTCTCCCAACCATCTCGAGAATCGTTGAAACGATTGTCGTCTGCGTATCGATCTGCATCAGATCGATACACTACTCGTAACGGTTTACTGTACTATACAGCCGTTTCTGGTGACACACCACGTGTTGTCATTCCAGATGATACTGATCTGCGTTTGCGGATCATGTTCGAGTATCACAATACTCCTATAGAAGGACATCGTGGCCGAGAGAAAACATATCTCACGGTAAGTCGAGACTTTTACTGGCCCCGCCAGTATCAGTTTGTGCGAAAGTATGTTCGCGCATGCGAAGTCTGCCAACGAGTGAAGTCAAGTCCTTCACTGCGTGCACCTTTACAGCCTCTACCGGTTCCGGCTGAGTGCTGGGAATCCATCTCAATGGATTTCGTCTTCGGGTTACCCAAAGACGCACGCGGGAATACGGGTATTCTCGTATTTGTTGACAGATTCAGCAAAATGGTACACCTTGTGGCTGTACCAGAGACAATCACGGCAAGTGGCTGTGCTTGTGTCTTTATTGACACCATCTTCCGACTTCATGGGTTGCCCCGTGAACTCGTATCAGACAGAGATCCACGATTCACTGCTGATTTCTGGCGTTCCGTGTTCAAATCACTCGGAACGCGCTTGAAGATGTCAACATCTGATCATCCAGAGTCGGATGGTCAGACGGAACGTGCCAATCGTGTCCTTGAAGAGATACTTCGAGGATACGTACACTCCTTTAAGAGTTGGAGTGAGTTTTTTGCCGATGGTAGAGTTTGCCATCAACAACTCGGTGCATGCGTCCACGACACATACACCGTTTTACGTGAATGGCTTGCGCCATCCGCGTGTACCCACCTTACTAGAGTGTAACTCTGGTTTAAGGGGGGGAGGGACTCGCGCGAGCAAAAACCGATTTGGTTCACGCTCATCACGCTCTGACGAAGAAGTCATTGCGTTTGATGCCGATATCGATAACATCAATATCGAAGAAGATGATGCCAGTGAGAGTGCGGAAGCCCTCACTGAAGACAATGATCCCAGTGAGAGTGCGGAAGCCCTCACTGAAGAAAAGGTTGTTGTCGCTGCAGTGCGCTCACAGCACACTGAAGCTAACGAGTCATCAGATGAGTTCATACTGGCTCGTGAAACGGTAGTCCGTTTTGTGCAAGACTCCATCGCCGAAGCGGTGGATAAGCAAAAGCAAAACGCTGACAAGAATGGAAGGGCAAACACTCTTTTATTTAATAAAGGTGACTTAGTCCTACTGTCTACGGTTAATCTACCAAAACATGTAGTGACTAACTTGGGTAGCAGTAAACTACTACCCAAGTACATTGGCCCATTTGGTGTATTGCACCGCCTAGGCAATGCATACACGATCGAGTTACCACGTAAGATGCGAACGCATCCCACGTTTTACGTTGGTCGGCTTAAGCCGTACCATCAGTACGCTGCTTCTTCCGATGAAGAACGCCCTTGCGCTCAAGCATCTCGCAGAGAGCCTTGTGCTCCCGATGGTGGGCATCAACAAGGGTCTGAAGAGCAGTTATCTCAGCCCGAGACCGATCAACAATCCCACGAGCTACCCTTAGCTCGTCACGAAGAGATGTCAGAGATCTCTCGTTCTCAAGCTGAGCAAAGGCAAACTCAGCTCGATGCTTCGAGGCAGTGTCCACCATCTGGAGACGCCTATTCCGCTCATGCTCGAGATCGTCGCGTAACCCTTGCGTTACGCGATCAAAAAGCTCTCGGGAACACACCGATCCACATGATCGTGTGGAGAGCGTCTTTCCTCCTCCTCCACCTCCATTAGAGGACTCTCGCGGTGGCCAGCGCTATCTAGTGGAGCAGCTGTTGAACCACCGCGACGTGAACGGACGTCGGACGAGTTACCTCGTCCGGTGGCGCGGCTATCCCCCGTCCTGGGATTCTTGGGAGCCCCGCTCCCAATTGATGGTTGACGTACTGGGTCTGGTCGAGCAGTACGACGCGGCACATCCTGTGCCGCAGAAGGACCGCCGGAGAAAGTCTTCCCGGCACGGTCGTAAAGGGATTTCAGGTTGTCAATCCCTTCGTACATCTCAGTAGAGACACGTACGCGCCACCACGGGCTGGTAAGGAGGTAAGCCTCCTTAGGTGCTCGTGCAGAGTTGTTCACACAACATGGGCACGAGTCTCCCCAAGAGAGGCAGGGTAATCCTTTCTCCCTTGACAGACGATGCAGCTTATAGCGTGCACCTGTCGGGGGTTCGCTTTTCAAACTTATCACGAGCTTTGATAAGTTTGTCGTTCCAAGCGTCACGACCTACATCCTCGAGATTATGGATGTAGGCGTTCCACGCCTGAAGTAGTGAGGGACCATCACGTTTGTGATTCCCACTGTACCATCGATGTCTGAAGAAAGCATCGATGAAGAACTCATGTTCAGCGCGATAGTCTTTCGCGCTGGGGTCAAGGTGATGAATCCTCGACGAATCGAACAATCGTGTTCGATAACGATCACTCGTCGTCGCCGACAAGTGATCCATGACAGATTTAGGAGGCATCCATGCCTTCTTTTCTGGAGCGAGACGCAACACATTGCGGTCCCGCTCTTCCTGCGACGTGCCGACAGAAGTACTGGCACCTCGCTGTGAAGTGGTGTCCATTGGAGAAACGACACCACTATTAGCGCCCGAGTCTCGCGACCTCGAGCGCCTTCGCTTCGGCGATGGTTCATCTGACTCATCAGATGAACCAAAGATGCTGCGACGCAAAGCATCGTCCATGCCACGCTTGGCAGGCGGCTTGGATTCAATTGCCGTCGATACGGATCCGTCATCCGTATCAGGAGAGTACGAGACACCGAGCTCGTACTCTGTGAAGACACGAGTGTCTTCATGACCAGCGCCTGCATCACCAGGTGATACAGGCTGAGTCGATTCAGCAACCGATGGGACATCAGTTGCTGTAGTTTCTGCTTCGGCGTCCGCACAGAGACGTGCAGACGCGCTCTCGGCGGCCTTGCTCGCGCATCGCATGGGCTTGTTAACCATGCGATGAGATGTTGGAAAGTGGACGCGGACCAACAAGTGCAAACCCCGTCCCAAATGATTTGGGACGAGTATCCATTTAGTCAATCAGTCACTAAAGTGACTGATGGTTAGGGGGGGTGATGTAACGGGGTGAATCGTTACATAACAATTTATAAGAAATTGTTAATAGAATATAACTATAAGAGTTATATTCTCAGAATATTGTCATAAGGACAATATTCGGTAGCACTTCCAAGTAGTTCCTAATTGGTTGATATAGGCCATTATATCAACCAACGAAGACGCGCCACGACAGACGCACGCAATGAGTGGTGAGCAGATAACTGATTTACACATTTGTATTTAGACATAGTTAGATGAAGATAAATAGTGATTTATTGCAGACATTAACTATTATAAATACAGTTCTACTTTTTACTCTAACCGAGTACTCGCTTCTTCTTACCGTCTTCCTCTGCACGTACGAGTGTACGTGAAGTTACGAGGCACCGCCTTATTCTGTTATCAGAATAAGTAGCTTGTACTGTCACCAGTACAAGCTTCAGGGTGCCCCGTTACATTTGTGTAACGGGTAGCTTTTTACATGATATTGACACCAAACAGTGTCAATTGGAATATTGTCTCGTGTGAAAATCTCCTGCTAATATTACCAGAGATTGGTAATATTGAAGGAAAATTATCACCTTGCGGATAATAATCATGCGCTGCTCGAAGATTAGTTGATATAAGACATATCAACCATAGATTACCACCAATCGCTGCTAGACGCGCGCAATGAGTGGTGAGCAGGTTGTCGTCAAACGACGACGTAGTTTATAATAGTTAGATAAAGACTAAATTTATTTTAATAGCTTAACTATTATAGATGGAATTCTCTTTTTACTTTCACTCAAACTAGTAAGTGAGTAGATAAGCTTCCTCTGCACGAAGAAGAGTACGTATGGTTTCGTGGCACTACAACAAAGGGTGCCCCGTTACAGTTTAAGTTCACAAGAGGAACTCGTGCTTCACCTGCAACCTTCTCACTAGACGAGGGGGCGTACATGATAATTATTGCGTACATTGTAACGGGGTGAATCGTTACATAACAATTTATAAGAAATTGTTAATAGAATATAACTATAAGAGTTATATTCTCAGAATATTGTCACAACGACAAATATTCTGTAGCACTTACGAGTAGTTCCTAATTGGTTGATATAGGCCATTATATCAACCAACGAAGACGCGCCACGACAGACGCACGCAATGAGTGGTGAGCAGATAGTTGATTTACACATTTGTATTTAGACATAGTTAGATGAAGATAAATAGTGATTTATTGCAGACATTAACTATTATAAATACAGTTCTACTTTTTACTCTAACCAAGTACTCGCTTCTTCTTACCGTCTTCCTCTGCACGTACGAGTGTACGTGAAGTTACGAGGCACCGCCTTATTCTGTTATCAGAATAAGTAGCTTGTACTGTCACCAGTACAAGCTTCAGGGTGCCCCGTTACAGTCTTCCTCTGCACGTACGAGTGTACGTGAAGTTACGAGGCACCGCCTTATTCTGTCATCAGAATAAGTAGCTTGTACTGTCACCAGTACAAGCTTCAGGGTGCCCCGTTACATTAACTATTATAAATACAGTTCTACTTTTTACTTTAACCAAGTGCTCGCTTCTTCTTACCGTCTTCCTCTGCACGTACGAGTGTACGTGAAGTTCCGAGGCACCGCCTTATTCTGTTATCAGAATAAGTAGCTTGTACTGTCACCAGTACAAGCTTCAGGGTGCCCCGTTACATTACAGACGTGATGACGTCTGCTGCAGGTGGCTTGCCCTCTAGATCAGCGCTTATTCCATACATTTCAGTGCTTCCATTGTCTTGGTAGGTGTAAGAGGTGCTGAGAAACGCGGAGAGTCTATAAGCTACAACCACCGTTCGTACGCCATTGTAGGTTGATCATAATTTCAGTAATCTTGAGGCCAGATTGCGGCTGCCCTACGTGAATGCAACTCGAGAGCCCGCAGCTGCACCGATGTTTTGCACTATCCAGATATCGAAAGAATATGGCGAGCTCATTATCGGTCAAAGATAACTACAAACCGTGCAACCCGCCATCTTGACGGAAATTTCATTCTGTGAAAAGAACATTAATTCACAGGAAAAACGACCGATTTAAAGTCAATCGTACCGGCGGCGTTGATGAGCTAGACTCATATCGAGATCTGCGATAGTCTCCAAGCCACGAATGCGTCCAATTGATGAGCTGGAATATCTCGCGTCTAATAGCACTGACGCCTCCTGTTGATGAGCTAGAATACCAGTTGATAATGTAATCGATGGATAGCCCTGTGCGGTCGTTTTCGCGCAAAACAGTGCGGCACGCCTTTCGAAGGTCAAAACAAATTACAGTATGTTGATGCGCTCAGGCTTCAAAGGTTTGTAGAAAGTTGTGGGGGCACCATCTACCAGCTGTGCATGAAACATAGCTGCTAAACTCCAATTACATTTCGTCGCTTCGATTAAGGCTTTGTCTTGAGCACTTTAAAATGTTGAATCTTGGGATGGAGTAAATACGTGAGCAAAAGATTATAGTCACAACCTTGTTTTTATTTCTACAATAGTTGTATTCCTTTTTCTTATAGCGAAGGTGGGGGATCAGTCTACTAAGATTCATTGCAGACTACCGCCAGTACTAGGGCGAGTAGAGTTTGTGCATCATTGTCATGTCCATCGTACTACATTGGTTTCAGCTGATTGTGACGGCGGAGACCCGCTGTACCCTGGAAACTTTTGCCTTCGTGCAATCGAATAAATGTGTCTGATATCGGCTATCAAAACAGTGCGTTAGACAGGGTCCACATCGATTCAAGAATTTCTTCGGACTAGGTTTCATGGAGCTTTGTGGATTGGATCATGCTGGTGGATGTAGTTAGTTCGATACGGTTCATCAGCTGTCGTCATATAGTACATAAAGCAGTGTGCAGCTGCAAAATGGCTGTGGTGCATGATTGTGTTCGAAGTCGGCGATCTGCGGTGAATCCGATTTTACCGCTTACTGGATAGACAACCAGACGACTAGTCTCCCCGGTCCCTAGCATAATTTTTTCATCTTATTCACGATTCGCTAAAATTAGAAGCAAGATTGTCTTCGTGTCCATCGCCCCAATTTGTGGCGGAGATTTCCAGCGGATAACAACAACCTTCCAGCGAATGTCATGATACGATAACTCACACTGTCACTTATTGACACGTTCAGCCTGATTGGCACGTGTATAATCGGTCAATGCATCACGCGCATTCACCTTCCATACAAGTGCATGATCAATAACAGTATCGTGTTCGTCACACATTTTATGCCTCCTGTACTCGCGCGCCAGCTATATGTGTTGCTGCAACCAAGGCGTCGTGCAAAATGTGTTCCAGCTATTTGCAATGATGGTGGGCTTATCGATCAGTTATGGAACTGTTAACCAAACGTAAATTCCCCTGGAGATAGTGGTGCTGTCGGGTGTGTCAGGAGAGCAGGGATGTAACAAAATGGACTCGCATTTCGATCCTGCAGCAGGAAGCGTGCACATTTACACGAACAGCGTTTCGATTGAAATGGCGACCATTCGTAGAAAGCACAGTATCGATGTCAGAACTGACAAGCAAGGTGTAGATGTCAAGAGAGGAAGTAATTGTTTGGCCTGGAATATAACGAAAAGAAGCGGCTACAATCACTTGACCGAAACTCGTTGAACACATGCTCGTGCAGAGGTGCTGCATCGATTCTTTTCTGGTCATCAAGAATATTACGAAATTGCAAGACAGTGTCTAGCTGGAGACGTTTTAAAAGAAATGGCCAACGAATATTTGCGCAGCCTAGCGGAGGTAAGTACTTAGATACACGATTTCACTCTTCCGTAATCGGAACCGCCCGTGCTCCATCGCGATTATGAGATGTTCATTTCTGCATGTCATTACTGTTTGAACGTTCTGGTTTTATCTGGTACTATAAGGGCAAGACCTGTACAGGTCATGTAAGCTCGCACCAATTCGCTGATGTTGAAGGCGCAGGGATAAGACGACGCAACGATTAGTAGAGAGTAGTGTCATGGTCATCTATGAACTGACGATGGACGAGCCAGAAATGGTTTCTGCAAATGCATGTCGTATACGGATTTACACCAGCTATGGGTGAATGTAACTCTTACTTCCGACTACTGCTAAGGAAGCGCACCGCTCATTCGCATACTGACACGGACGCCGCTTTGCGAAGTGCATGTGTACATTGTCGCTGAAGTGGAGTAGAGGTGGCGAGCTATGGCATACATTGAAGGTTCAGTTTTCGTATGGAGTCACGTCTGTGTTGACTTGATGTGCAGGATCGACGGGTAGCTTGAACCGACATGTTGGTTTCGGGTGCAAGGAGTTAGACATTATCAAGCGCAATGACACTCCACGTGATATCTGGCATGAGGCACTGCAATACGCAGTAAACCATTAAAACCGAGAATTCTACCAGGTTCGCACCGCGGTGACCGGGACCTCGCGGAATGTCGATCGTGCTCCGAGAAGCGGAGAATACTGTGAGTAAGCGATCCCGCCTGGTGTGTTATAGGAATCAGCACGAAAAGTAACGGTATAACACACACGCTAACACATGAAAGTAGTGGAGAAAGCAAGATGACGTAGTGTTGCGGTGAGTATCGACAGCAAGTTACGAGTAAGTGTCTTCCTGTGACTTGAAAGGCGGAAATTCCGCTTTAAAGCCCATCCACGGATATTATGCATTGGTCCAGAAGTGCGACTTTTAAACAGTCTGAGCTGTAGTCCACCTCGTAAGTCGTATGTTCCCGACGACGCGTCTGCTCTCTGTCCATTCATCTGAGTGGTCGAAAGTCCCAAGTGACATCCTTTCATTGGTGCAATATATGTGGTGGGGACCTTTTATCCCATTCTCGTCTCATTTAACATCCTACACCGCATCAAACCTGGTAGAAATGCTGCGACGTGCAGCTCGATCATCCCTACGTAGTGCGTCCCGCCGCGCCACTGCCCAGAAGCTCAAGGCCGTATCCACCTCACTGCAGTTGTGCCAACCCAATGGTGCAAAAGCTCCATCACATCACTACCCCGTGCAGGTCGCGCTCTTCTCGTCCGACGTCTCAGCTCCATCCCAGCAAATGCCAGAGCGCGAGTTCGTCGAGCTGGCAGACGAGACGCTGCATGAAATTCAGAACTGGCTCGATGGCATTGAGGAGATGCTGGACAACTCTGACATTATGTTCACGGTACGCACTTTTGGTATCACTTCTTCGCCCTTTGCAATCGCGTAGCTACTTAGTACTTGCTTGTGTACTTGTTTGGTGCAAACAGCAAGGCGTCTTGAAGATCGATCTCGGTGAGCACGGTACGTGGGTGCTCAACCGTCAAGTGCCTAACAGACAGATCTGGTGGTCGTCTCCAATCAGGTGCGTGGCAAAGAAGAGAGAGAGACCAGTGCAGAAGCGCTTGAGAGACGGACTGACAGGTATTTTTTGTGTGTGTGTCTGTCTGTTGTGCCTGACTTCGTAGTGGTCCTCGTCGGTACGAGTACGATGCTGAACATGGTCACTGGGTCAACACGCGAGACAAAGGTGAGCTGGTGGAGTTGTTGCGCTCAGAGATCCTTGATGCGACAGGTATTGAGATCTACAGCTGAGGTGTTGATGGTCAAGTAGTGCTTCGCGAAAGGTGTCATAGCTATCTGTGTGCAGCTGAAAGTGAAGTACAACAACATGCAGAGCCTATAGCGAGCGCAGCAAAAGCCTTTGTAATGATTGCTTACTTGATGCGTTCAAACTCAGTCACTGCATTCAGCGTGCAGCTGCTCTTCTGTCTCATAACAGTTCGTCCTCGTCCTCCTCTTCGACAATTTCAGCTGCTGTCTCTAGTCTATTCATATCTACTTCGTGTCGCTCGCTCATGTAATTCTGAGTACACACCGCATTCGCAGTCGACGTTAGCACAAGCCGTAGTACATCCATGACACGAGCATAATGACGTACTGCAAGCAGGAGACCGCGAAAGTGGTCTGTGGATGCATCGAGTGTGGTGGAAGCCAACAGTCCTTTCCGACGAGCTTCGTCCTCTTCCCATTCGGCGATCGCTCGGTCTCGTATATCTAGAATGTAATCCCGACGCCTCTTTTCGTTTTCAGCCTCCGTCACATGCGCATAATACTCTTTTTCCTGAGTTTAGCAGTAAGATTGTTCAATACGCTGTTTTTTTTTACAAAAGATCAATATCAGTTGGCAGTCGAACGTACTTCGTCTGAACATCTGCGCCACATGTCACCCATAATCTTTCTCATCTCAGACGCTGATCGACGTGTCTTTCCCAAAACTCCCTTCTGCATTTGGCAATACACAATGAAAGGGTTGAGTGGTCGTGGAAGGCGCGTTTCCTGCAAACAAAGACACGATGAAATTGAGTATCGCTGAGCGGGTCAAAACTATAGAACTACAGCGTCGATGTGGACACACTTTGTACACAGGCCGATTAGGTCGGTTTGATTGCCCGTTCGTTTGCATTGGCGTCCTTCTTCGTGTTGTTCGGCTGCGCAATTAAACGGATAGTCAGTATACAATGTAATGCCAACTCCGGCAACAAAATAGAAAGTGAGCTTACGCTCGGACTGCCGTAGATTTGGCGGATAAATATGTCCTCTCTTCACTGGAGAGCTCACTCAATATAGGTTGCCACAGCTCTGTCACAATTGCACACATTTGTTCAGTAATAGTTGCAGCCTCTGTCCAACGCACGTCGTTTGCAATCTTCATACGTACTGGCGTCATTTATGTCACGCACGACATTGTCCAGGGTGGACATCGTTTCAATATACCCTGCACTGCATTTTGGCAGCGCAGCGCCGGATTCTTTCACACAATGTAGACTTTTGCCAATCCACCTGCGCCCACTTAATACGATACGATAAGCCGCCACCTGCTCGACGATCGAGAAAACAATGGCTGGCTCAAATGGATGTGGCAAATTCATGTCTGCACGTAGCGTCCGAGCGAATGTCTGTGCGGCAGCAAGGTCGTTGGAAATGTCCCATTCGAATTGATCGCGAAGCTACGTCGACATCGAGCAAATTAAAACTGATTAGCATGCGCACGTCACAATATTGGTGTGTCAATCAAGACAAATGCAACATACCGAGAACCCGTCAATGATAAGATTCAAATACATCGGAAAAAGACGATCACTGGCCTGCTGAATGCTCAAGCACGTGGTAAACACCAAAACTTGCCGCCGAATCGACTCGGCAATAACATCCTGTACGTATCATGTGATCGCAACCTTAGCACCCGAACGACATGATAATCATGTATGCGCATGCACGCACTTTAAACTTGTCGCTCATCTTTTCATCGTCAGCGATTCGGGCTGCAAGGGATTCGGGTGTGCACGTTGCCAGTGCGCTTCGACATGCAAAGTGCATAATCGACTATAAGCTCACTCCATAGCACCGAGAACATGACATTTAGTGCAAACGTACGCATCAACAAGAAGTGTATCCTGAAACCGTATGCCGTTTAGGTTGACGTCTATGCGAATCGGGCAGATAGATTCCACCTTCACCATCTGCCGCATAGTTCGCGCATGTAGTCGACCTGCCGTCAACTTTACATCCGCCAAATTCTTGCCCCTTTTCTCAAGCAATGCCGCCTTCAATTCGGCAGCCGGCGCATCCAAAGGCATCATAACGACCCGTCGCTTCCGCTTTCTATTGACTGCAGATCTACGCGGCACCTCTGCCACTTCATTCTCCTGTACGCACACCGCCCATCAATACTCGCTTCTTACAGCAATTTACAAAGTCGACATACCAATTGTGCAGGTTTCACGTCAGCATGAATAATGCTTCTTCTGTCTTCCACACTGCGTCCACACTGCACGCAGCAATAACCATAAGCAGAGCGTCAGCGTCTTTTTCCCCACTGTTCTGATTCCAGTCTTCGCCATGTCTGACCAACCTGTAAAGGTGCCATAGATCTTCTACTACTGCCGTTGAAAGGCATAAGAGGCTTGGTCGTCACACTCTTGAGCGTCTGATGTGCCAGTGCTACGCGATACCTCATCAGCAGTTTATCCACAGCCGTGTCTGCAATCTGCGAGCCATTTAACGAAAACCACAGACAACAGCAGTAGTCCGAATCGTAAGAAACGCCTAATTGGTCACGTATACAAGAACCGAGTCATAAACACATACGTCAATTGACGCTTTGGTGCGCCGTGTCTTGAATGAAAAATACGCGTCCAATTGGTCGCTGGACCAGCCCAAATGCCTCGCGACCTTGTCATTCGTGACGGCATAGCGCCTTATAAAGAGCTCCAGGCGTTCAGCTGTAGAAGGGTATCCATCTGATCCGCCACCACTCATAGATGATGGGTCTCGTCGTTGTCACTATTGAGAGGGAGAGAGAGAGAGAGGGAGCTCCTCGAGCGCTAGCAGGTCGACGATTGCAAATGACGGAAGTGGCGGAGGTTATTGTGGCGTGCACCACACGAATGGTCTGGTGTTCAATTTGTGCACCGAAGGCTGATCAAGGTTGTTTTATGTCACGCGGAGCGACGTAATACTGAGGGCGGTCCGTTGTTTTATCTCGAAGCATGGGACTTGGTTTGCCGCACCACGGCCTTGTCTCATGAAAGGCAGCTGGACAGTTTCTTGCAATTTGTGACTCGCGGCTGCAAAAAAAAAGATACGCGGCTGCTTTGTTGAAACATTTTTTGGTGGCGTTATGACGTAGTGCCTTGTGCTGCATCCGTACACGCTATTGTGGTTGTAGTATCGATAATGGTCATGTCAGTATGCTCGCCCGAACCATCACCGAGTATTTGTCCTTAGGTCCAGGACGCATGACATGCAAGACTGGTGAGATGCTTGACCATGCTGACAGAGTCGGGTGATAGGTGAGAACAAGGACCTGACACAGAAGTAGTAGTGCGTACCTCTTCTGTACCCTTGCGCGATAGAATATACTGCTGTGGTCGTGTGCATCTCGGCTGGTGTAATAGACAGTAAGCGACTATCTGCGGCTATACTAAAATCGACTTGGTCTTTTGCAGACTGCATATGCGTGAGCTGCGGGGTAAATGATGAGGTTGTCGAATCGATACACTTGCAGCTGATCGATGGCGTATGCACCTATTTGGTAGATGTAACGGGGTGAATCGTTGCATAACAATTTATAAGAAATTGTTAATAGAATATAACTATAAGAGTTATATTCTCAGAATATTGTCATAAGGACAAATATTCTTTAGCACTTACGAGTAGTTCCTAATTGGTTGATATAGGCCATTATATCAACCAACGAAGACGCGCCACGACAGACGCACGCAATGAGTGGTGAGCAGATAGTTGATATACACATTTGTATTTAGACATAGTTAGATGAAGATAAATAGTGATTTATTGCAGACATTAACTATACTAAATACAGTTCTATTTTTTACTTTAACCAAGTACTCGCTTCTTCTTACCGTCTTCCTCTGCACGTACGAGTGTACGTGAAGTTACGAGGCACCGCCTTATTCTGTCATCAGAATAAGTAGCTTGTACTGTCACCAGTACAAGCTTCAGGGTGCCCCGTTACACCTGGTAGCACTTCGTAGTCCGTCCAAGGACCGCGTTCACATCCAACATGAATATGTTGGATGATGAAGATGACCAAAGCTTTCACGCTACGCGTGACGGCTACTCCCATTTAAGCGATGTCGAATGGGATGCGGTTGAACGGATGGGTTCAACCATGGGCATCCATGCTGTTAGCGTCATGCTAGATGCTCTCAATAGAGATGCCCAACATGCTACTATCGCCAAGTTCATTCAAAATGAACTTGGCGCTGAACGCGAGAAAGTATCCTTGCTTCACCAACAAGGTTCTCAGCAAGCAGAGTTGTTGAGAGAACAGGGTGCTCAATAGTTTGAACTGTTGAGACAGCAGCAGGCTGCTGCTGGTGGGTCGATGCACTCGCGTCGACCCGAAACCTTGAAGATTGACATCTCCAAGTATAGGGGAGTCGAAAAGTACTCCCTCTTGAGATGGTTCGTCGAATCGGATGACGCCATAAGGGCGCGTCGAATCGACGATGGGGATATGCAAGTTGCATTTGCCCAGTCAAATCTGGCAGGAAGTGCCAAGACTTGGGCACTGGGGCTCAAGTTGCACGACCCATATGCTTTTGGGTCGTTGGAAGTCTTCAAGTCGCGGCTCAGACAAACGTTTGAACCGCCTAGAGCTGAGTTCAGAGCTCGAACCGAACTCTTGAAGCTCAAGAAGGGTAAGCGTGATGTGCACGCTTACGCGCAACACATACGACATCTTACGAGTTGTATAAGTTCCAATCCGGTGGATGAACACACGTTGGTTTCGGTGTTCATGCAGGGTCTTGCGGATGGTCCCGTCAAGACTCACCTGTTCCGACTTGAACTAGATTCACTAGAACAAGCCATTTCCATTGCGGAACAGGAAGACTTCAGTCTGAGACAGGCTCGCGCCAGCTCGACATCATATCGTCAACCGAGACGATATGACAGTGGAGGTTCAGAGCCGATTGAACTCTGTTATGTAGAGAGCGAGAAGGCTCGCTCTACAGACTACAAGAAGTTGCAGAGATGCAACAGATGTCAAAAGACAGGACACTACGCTTACGAGTGTAGTGCCCCTCGTCCAGTGTCTCGCGACACTGGGCGTAGTGACCGTCCACCCATGAGAAAGGGGCAGGGACGAGGTTCCGCTGTTGGTGCAAAGACGCAACAACGGGATGGACCGTCGAAAAACGGACAGGATCAGTAGGTGCGGAGCACCCTACTGGTCCAGCAACGTCAATAGAATTTGTGGGCCTCTTGATGAAGGTTGCTCCCAACACACAAACGTTGTGCGTTGCTGCTCTAGGTAATGAGATCTCACTCATTACCTTGAAACTCGAAGTGACAAATAAGTTGTCCCTTCGAGCTCTAGTCGATTGTGGGGCGTCCAACAATTTTGTGCGACGCCAATCGCTAGAAGATGGTCACTTTTTAAGTTCAGTGAATGTGACACACCTCCTACGAGGATGACGGCACGTCTTGCGACAGGCGCATCCGTAACCGTCATGAAGCGTATAGTGAAGATCCACTATACGCTAGAAATACCCAATATGACGATGACTTTATCGTATTGGATTTGGATGACAAATTTGATGTCATCCTTGGAATACCGTGGCTCAGAAGGTACGAACGACGGGTAAACTGGCAACATCGAACAGTAACGATGCCTGTCGCTTGTTCACCAGATGGCCATCTGATGAACGTTTTGGAGCGTCCACAAGCGTGTGGATGTACTACGAGTGAGTGCGATGGCCTCACTTGTGGTACGGTCGTTAGTACGACTGCACAAAACCTTAGTGTACCAAACTGTTACACTTCGGAGCAAAGTTCCGGCAGCTGTGAGGAAACACAGGCTGCGCCGAAGGTCCACCACTCTAATAAGTCGGGTGGACTGGGACAAAAATGTATCCCTAGCGGGGAACATCTAAAAGAGAAACCATCGATCGCTCAGGTTAAGCGAAACGATAATCCTAGATCGACTGGAGATTCTTTCGTAGAGGATCTCGCTGTGGTTGCGCAACCCCAGCTAGAGGAAGTAAAGGGAATAAGTCCCAAGATTGCAAATACGGCGGAAATAAGTTCCCCGAAACCTGCGGGAATAAGTCCCTGGGAAGCCGAAGGAATAAGTCCTTCGAAGCCTGAGGGAATAAGTCCCCAGGAAATGACAGAGACATTGAATGTCATAGTCAATAACGGATCAAGTGTAGGCGCTTATACACTTGATCTGATTGCGCCTCCGAAGTTGACTTCGGAGATCACTCAGTTGCCAACGCTCGAACATAAAAGGTTCTTGCATGATCTGCGTAGTGGCAAAGTCAAGCAGATCTGCGTACTCGTCGCTGACGACGAGTGTGTATCCGACATAAGGTCAGCAACAGTGTTTACTGAGAACGAGAGAGTTCTCAGTAGTTCATCTATGGACGAGAGTGTCCTAGATGAAAAGACACGAGTTGAGCGATATGACTCCCAATCGTGGGAATCGCTCACAACAAATCCTCTCTATGAAGATTTGGTTGAATTCAAGGATGTATTCCCTGAAACTGTTCCGTGCGAATTACCGAAGGATAAAGGTATTCGACACGAGGTCGAGCTTAAACCAGGCTCGAAGTACTGTGTCATGAAGCAGTGGCCACTGCCTCGTGAACAAGTACTTGCGATCGACAAGTTCTTTGCCGATCGTTTAGCTGCGGGCCATGTGAGGGAATCAACTTCCCCACATAGCTCTCCGACCTTCTGTGTGCGAAAAGCAGCAGGAGAGTGGCGGATAGTGCATGCATTTAACAAGTTGAATGCTGCAACGGTACCGGCTCAGACACCGATACCGAGGAAGGACGTAATCATTGATGGTATGTCAAAGAGTACCATCTTTTCGTCCATGGATTTGATGGATGGCTTCTATCAAATCCTTATGCGAGAACGGGATATACCCTATACCGCAGTTAGCACGCCTAGCGGCATGCTCTGGGAATGGCTAGTAATGCCACAAGGGCTTAGTAATGCCCCTGCCACGTTCAACAGATGTGTATCACATCTGTTGAGACCAGTACGAGAATTCGCGCCGAGTTATTTCGATGACGTATTCATCCATAGTCGGGCTATGGATGGAAAGTCGGATGTTGAGGTTCACAGGTACCACGTCCGACAGGTTCTTACAATCATGCGAAAGCATCAATTGTACGCAAACCTCAAGAAGTGTATATTTGCAGCAAGCGAAATACCACTTCTTGGGTGCATCGTTGGTAAGAACGGTGTACGTCCTGATCCCGAAAAGATCGAGGCGATCACCGACTGGCCTGTGCCGGTTGATGTCAAAGGTCTTCGAAAATTCCTTGGGCTAGCGGCGTATTTGCATAAGTATTCACGCAATTACGCCGAGATGACTGTGCACCCCTCTCGTTTGTTGAAAAAGAACGAGAGGTGGTTATGGAACGCTGAATGTCAGCGCTCCTTTGAGGGTATCAAGCAGAGCTTGATACAATCCCCAGTCCTAGCAATAGCCGATCAGGACAGGCCATTTCATGTGGTCTGTGATGCCAGCGATTTCGCAATCGGCTGTGCATTAATGCAGTACGATCTTGAAGGCGTTGAACGCGTCGTCTGCTATCAGTCGCGTCAGCTGCAACCAGCTGAGCGGAACTATCCAGTGCATGACAAGGAACTCCTCGCCATGAAGTATGCACTCGCGAAGTTCAGAGTCTATCTCTTAGGAGATAGACCCTTCATTGTTTACACTGACCATGCGTCATTACGCACGGCAGTGAACAGCCCGCACCTTTCACAACGAATGGCGCGGTGGTTGTCATTCTTTGCGGAATACAACTTTACGGTCGAGTACAAACCAGGACGACTTAATGTCGTCGCTGATGCACTCTCACGTCGTCCCGACTTTGAAACAGTCGCGAAACCCGACAGTGAGACAGTCACTGTTGCGGTTATGACGTCCTCGGTCCCATCTACAACGTTGTATGATGATGTGAGGCGGGCATACGCCCAAGATGGTGAGATTGTGAAGTTGTTGACACATCTCTCCCAACCATCTCGAGAATCGTTGAAACGATTGTCGTCTGCGTATCGATCTGCATCAGATCGATACACGACTCGCAACGGGGTACTGTATTATACAGCCGTTTCTGGTGACACACCACGTGTTGTCATTCCAAAAGATACTGATCTGCGTTTGCGGATCATGTTCGAGTATCACGATGCTCCTATAGGAGGACATCGTGGCCGGGAGAAAACATATCTTACGGTGAGTCGAGACTTTTACTGGCCCCGCCAGTATAAGTTTGTGCGAAAGTATGTTCGCGCATGCGAGGTCTGCCAACGAGTGAAGTCAAGTCCTTCACTGCGTGCACCTTTACAGCCTCTACCGGTTCCGGCTGAGTGCTGGGAATCCATCTCAATGGATTTCGTCTTCGGGTTACCCAAAGACGCACGCGGGAATACGGGTATTCTCGTATTTGTTGACAGATTCAGCAAAATGATACACCTTGTGGCTGTAACAGAGACAATCACGGCAAGTGGCTGTGCTTGTGTCTTTATTGAAACCATCTTCCGATTTCATGGGTTGCCCCGTGAACTCGTATCAGACAGAGATCCACGATTCACTGCTGATTTCTGGCGTTCCGTGTTCAAATCACTCGGAACGCGCTTGAAGATGTCGACATCTGATCGTACAGAGTCAGATGGTCAGACGGAACGTGCCAATCGTGTCCTTGAAGAGATACTTCGAGGATACGTACACTCCTTTAAGAGTTGGAGTGAGTTTTTTGCCAATGGTAGAGTTTGCCATTAACAACTCGGTGCATGCGTCCACGACACATACACCGTTTTACGTGAATGGCTTGCGCCATCCGCGTGTACCCACCTTACTCGAGTGTAACTCTGGTTTAAGGGGGGGAGGGACTCGCGCGAGCAAAAACCGATTTGGTTCACGCTCATCACGCTCTGACGAAGAGGTCATTGCGTTTGATGCCGATATCGATAACATCGATATCGAAGAAGATGATGCCAGTGAGAGTGCGGAAGCCCTCACTGAAGAAGATGATGCCAGTGAGAGTGCGGAAGCCCTCACTGAAGAAAAGGTTGATGTTGCTGCAGTGCGCTCACAGCGCACTGAAGCTAACGAGTCATCAGATGAGTTCATACTGGCTCGTGAAACGGTAGTCCGTTTTGTGCAAGATTCCATCGCCGAAGCGGTGGATAAGAAAAAGCAAAACGCTGACAAGAATGGAAGGGCAAACACTCTTTTATTTAATACAGGTGACTTAGTCCTACTGTCTACGGTTAATCTACCAAAGCATGTAGTGACTAACTTGGGTAGCAGTAAACTACTACCCAAGTACATCGGCCCATTTCGTGTATTGCACCGCCTAGGCAATGCATACACGATCGAGTTACCACGTAAGATGCGAACGCATCCCACGTTTTACGTTGGTCGGCTTAAGCCGTACCATCAGTACGCTGCTTCTTCCGATGAAGAACGCCCTTGCGCTCAAGCATCTCGCAGAGAGCCTTGTGCTCCCGATGGTGGGCATCAACAAGGGTCTGAAGAGCAGCTATCTCATCCCGAGACCGATCAACAATCCCACGAGCTACCCTTAGCTCGTCACGAAGAGATGTCAGAGATCTCTCGTTCTCAAGCTGAGCAAAGGCAAACTCAGCTCGATGCTTCGAGACAGTGTCCGCCATTTGGAGACGCCTGTCCCGCTCATGTTCGAGATCGTTGCGTAACCCTTGCGTTACGCGATCAAAGAAGCTCTCGGGAACACACGGATCCCCATGATCGTGTGGAGAGCGTCTTTCCTCCTCCTCCACCTCCATTAGATGACTCTCGCGGTGGCCAGCGCTATCTAGTGGAGCAGCTGTTGAACCACCGCGACGTGAACGGACGTCAGACGAGTTATCTCGTCCGGTGGCGCGGCTATCCCCCGTCCTGGGATACTTGGGAGCCCCGCTCCCAACTGATGATCGACGTACTGGGTCTGGTTGAGCAATACGACGCGGCACATCCTGTGCCGCAGAAGGACCGCCGGAGAAAGTCTTCCCGGCACGGTCGTAAAGGGATTTCAGGTTGTCAATCCCTTCGTACATCTCACTAGAGATACGTACACGCCACCACGGGCTATTAAGGAGGTAAGCCTCCTTAGGTGCTCGTGCATAGTTGTTCACACAACATGGGCACGATTCTCCCTAAGAGAGGCAGGGTAATCCTTTCTCACTGGACAGACGATGCAGCTTCTAGCGTGCACCTGTCGGGGTTCGCTTTTCAAAATTTATCATGAGCTTTGATAATTTGTCGTTCCAAACGTCACGACCTACTCCTCAAGGTTATGGATGTAGGCGTATACGCTTGAAGCATTGAGGGACCATCACTCTTGTGATTCCCACTGTACCATCGATGTTTAAAGGAAGCATCGATGAAGAATTCGTTTTCAGCGAGATAGTTCTTCGCGCTGGGGTCAAGGTGATGGATCCTTGACGAATCGAACAACCGTGTTCGATAACGGTCACTCGTCGTCGCCGGCAAGTGATCCATGACGAATTTAGGAGGCGTCCATGCCTTATTCTCGGGAGCGAGACGCAAGACATTGCGATCCCGCTCTTCCTGCGACGTGCCGACAGAAGTAATGGCACCTCGTTGCGAAGTGGTGTCCATAGGAGAACCGACACCACTGTTAGCTCCCGAGTCTCGCGACCTCGAGCGCCTTCCTTCGGCGATGGTTCATCTGATTCATCGGATGAACCAAAGATGCTGCGACGCATAGCATCGTCCATGCCACGCTTGGCAGGCGGCTTGGATTCAATCGCCGTCGATACGGATCCGTCTTCCGTATCAGGAGAGTATGAGACACCGAGCTCATACTCTGTGAAGACATGAGTGTCTTCATGACAAGCGCCTGCATCACCAAGTGACACAGGCTGAGTCGCTTCAGCAACCGATGAGACATCAGTTGCTGTGGTTTCTGCTTCGGCGTCCGCACAGAGACGCGCGGACGCGCTCTCGGCGGCCTTGCTCGCGCATCGCATGGGCTTGTTAACCATGCGATGAAATGTTGGGAAGTGGACTCGGACCAACAAGTGCAAACCCTGTCCCAAATGATTTGGGACGAGTATCCATTTAGTCAATCAGTCACTAAAGTGACTGATGGTTAGGGGGGGTGACGTAACGGGGTGAATCGTTACATAACAATTTATAAGAAATTGTTAATAGAATATAACTATAAGAGTTATATTCTCAGAATATTGTCATAAGGACAAATATTCTTTAGCACTTACGAGTAGTTCCTAATTGGTTGATATAGGCCATTATATCAACCAACGAAGACGCGCCACGACAGACGCACGCAATGAGTGGTGAGCAGATAGTTGATATACACATTTGTATTTAGACATAGTTAGATGAAGATAAATAGTGATTTATTGCAGACATTAACTATTATAAATACAGTTCTACTTTTTACTTTAACCAAGTACTCGCTTCTTCTTACCGTCTTCCTCTGCACGTACGAGTGTACGTGAAGTTACGAGGCACCGCCTTATTCTGTCATCAGAATAAGTAGCTTGTACTGTCACCAGTACAAGCTTCAGGGTGCCCCGTTACTGTAGAACCAAGCAGGAAGGGCGATGAATTTGTCACTCGGAAATTTAGTGGCTGTGTACGCTTTTCATGATTAAGCATAGTGGTGACATCGTTCCTCGACGGCAGCCGCTTGGACCTACACATTATAAACGACACCTTGCGGCAGATTGTGCAGCAGGAGGAAGCCTTTATCTTTTTGCAGCACTCGATTGTATAAAAGGAATGAACATGACACTTGCCGACACAGTCCGTATGGCAGTAGTCTTGTGTCTTAAACGACAATCGCCTCCGCCTAAAAGGACCACACGCCGTCGCACAAAACTGCCCCTCGTAACTCGGATTCGACAATGTGCCTAATTGAGCATAGGCTTGCAGATACTTCTGAGGGATTGCTTGCGTGGCAACGAATTGCTTCTAGTACATCTTGATCCTAATGGATATGACTAGTACACCACAAAACCAATCAGGCTGAAAATACGCATTCCTCATCTATCTGCGCCAAGTTTATAGCACGATAGAGTTGTTAGTAGGGCGAATGATGTACAATCGTCGAAGAAGCCCCTGCAGCTGGAACTGGCAGCATCAGTATTAAACTTACACAATTGCTTGTGGACGATTAGCGTACTATTTGCCCCTGGATTTCTGCTGACACAGTTTGCAAGGTACGCGAACTTTTTCCTCAATTTCTAGATAATACGAGACACCGTCCAGTTTTTTTTCCTTTTATGACATGAGCACGAATAAACTCCATTCAAAGGAAGCATCCATTATCGTTAGGAAAAAAATGGTGGAAGGGGTCCACGTAACTGCAGGAAGTGTGTAGTGGAGCTACACAGCTCTTATTTCATCGGAACTTTGGGTACGGTGACACGGACCCCGTTGCTAGACGCACCGTGATAACATTACCTTCATGCCGTTTTCAGCGCTTCAGCATACTGCTGACTTCCTTCAAGAGATAAATGTCGGACGTAGTTTCTTGATGCCCCAGAATAAGTTAAGATTGATCACGGCTCTTCGAAGCCATTAACTGTTGCCATGGCAACCAACAAGCCTAATTTTTTTTACGCTTTGTGGCAACGTTCATGACATCTTGTGGGGCTAAGCCCTGTTCAGCTCTACCTCCTGGATTCTCTACAAAGCCTAGTTCCTCTTCTGTAGGGGATCTGCACCTAATAAGACTCGAAGCTTTCCCGCACCGTACCAGGTTTCTGGTTAAAAGCGGCATTACGGCTAGGCCGACTATGTTGCGTTTTATACAATGGTCAGTTGGGGAGGAGATGCCTTGTGATTTCGCACGTGTAACAGCTATGTATGTTGCGTAGCTGTTCAACAGCTACTAAATCTTATTCGCCATCGTCCGCATGACTGAGATCAATGGACCCTGCCCTATCTAGAGAAGATTAGGCGTGTCCGTGCGTACCATAGGGAGCCGCTTTAAAACTAAATCCGGCGTATAACACTACGTCCACAGCATCCCAAAGGATGAGGGGTAAATACGGAACACTTTGAACCGAGCGACCCGTACAAATTCGCTCCATAAAAATGGTGGCACGTACTTCTTTGGGGAGGGGATCCAACTGCAAAGCAGCAAGAAGAGTTTCAGCTTTTGGGAATATTCCGATAGCTCATCATTCCCTTGTCGGGAGGATAGGAAGCGTGAACGCACTCGATAAGCTTGATTCGGCGGTGCAAACACTCAAAACATCTGTCTTTTAAGCGAATCCACGTGGGAAACGCGGCGTCTACAGACGGATCAAACGCCAAAGCCTATATTTGGCTCTTCTGGCAAGTTTAAATGTGTCTAGGCCAGCGCTTTGGTACTTGATTTGCAGCATAGCGGCGCATATCTCCATTCCAACTTCTCCTATTCAAATAAGAAGGATTTATCCCTATTTCCCGTCAAATCCCCTACGCTCAATACGAGCGAGCGGGCCTTTAAGATCCTCATCAGGAATTGGGGTGTAACAAGTCCGCATAGACGACGCCACATGGTCATGGACCTGCCTGATTAATGTGGCCTCAAACTGCACAAAATCTTCCAGCCGTGCATTGGGCATTTCCGTGCCTTAGGTCACAATACAGTTGATTTGTCCGACTATAATCAGCTCCCTAAGTTTGTCAAGCGCGAGGCATTCAGCCTCAGAGAGAACAGCTAGGCTTTCCATCTTAACAGAGGTTCAGTCGATTTGTGGCTACGGTGCATGATTGACAACAAGTGCTGGCAAGTGTAGGGGAGCTACACAGCTCTCAGTCGGAGGAAGACTTACGACTCCAGCAGTCACTTAGTTCTACGGAACAAAGTTACTATAAGTTTAAAGAGTCTGTAGTTCTTAGAACTAATCAATAAAGACTCAGAGAGTCGTTGAGCTCGTAGCGCTTCTAGTCATGGTTCAAGGAAATAACAGCGGCTATAAAAGTCGTACACACAATGTGCTCTAGAATACATTTACGCCCGCATCAAGCTGTCACTTACTCGTACCGATCTACTGAAGTCTGAATCAGACACGTGTCAACGTAAGATCAAAAGGGGAATTAGACCAACATTTCTCAGTTCAATCCGTAATAAATCTCATTCATCCGCCTATTATTAAGGTTAATCTAATTTATATATAGTATCTTCAGTATGTTAAAGATTGATGGATGGCTGTCAGCAACGGAGGACTGAGGCTACCAACCCCATCATTTATCACAGATAAAGCTTGGGACTGTGTATCACACATGCAAGGTGTATCTCTTCATGACGGTAACGGTCGTGTGACCCCGTTAAAAAGTGCATGATGCACTGGTCGCAAATCCAGAGATATGGCATATGATAGGGCATGTGTAGAATGTTCTTCAGGTTTTTGTACATTGTTCTGGGTCTAAAGTATCTAGATGCACGGATAGGCATCACTTGTAGATTGAAAAATTACTGATGATGCCCCCGGCGGGACGTTTAAATGCGTCTGGTGCGCGGTTATATGCAAGTCGTTTACTTTAATTTACTACTAATTTATCAGTGGCATTAGACAAGCTCTTCGAAGGGCGACTGTTTGCCGCAGTGACATCACAAACGACCGCAATATGGATGTTGTGTGCGTCGCATGCAACATATTTGAAAACAATATAGCTAAGGAAATGCATACCATGAAAGCGGCATTAGTTTCGGATTTTCACTCAAGAATCGAGGCTGGGAGAAGATTACGTTTAACCTGTCACTTTTAAGCACTTAACATTACTGTATGTGGCCGTCCACACTTTTTGTCCTGCGTGGCTCATGCCTCACAGTATTTGCAGCATTATTTGTCCTCAAATCAGTCATTTAATGGCTTTATATCCAAAAAGCGCATAATAGATTGGGTAGCTGGTAAAGACTTGGGCTTCATCCCGCGTGTCCCGCACATCCATATTCCATAAGTATTCTACTGTATAACGCTAAGAATCTATTAATTTTCTACTCATATGATTTCACTGATGAACACGAGAATGTAAAATGAAAGCGCCATATTTATGTATGTATTCATTGTCAAATTCAGTATTTGAGTATAATCGAGATTCTGCGAAGGCATGCATCAAGGCACTCAAATGCTTGTAAAGGTAGTTTGACTTTCCCAGCGACAAATCGATGGACCATCTCATCCTACTGGGGGCTCGCATCTTCAATCTTTTGAAGAGGTGAGTTTCTTTTGGAAGTAACTAGATTGCCCAAAGCCTCGTCATGATCGCTTTCAAGCAGTCTCATGGCAAAAAATTTCCGCCGAGACGATGCTTAGTGGGGTCACTACTAGTCGAACACGAATCCTATAATGTTGATGCGTGTGGCCAATCTCCTCAATTCTTATGTGAAGAGCCCTGCTTGCATGAGTACACCACTAGCTGCACCGATCCAATTTCTAGTGGGACAGACATTCATCTTCTGCACTTGTTGTAGCATTTAAGTATCGATCACATTACATTCATTTCACCAATTCACTATGGACTTGATTTTGGTACCCCTAGGCTTATGGAGGCGCTCATGTGCATCCAAATTTGATCGTTGTCAAAACATTTGTAGAAAAAAACCTTCTATTATCTCATCCCGCAGCGTCCCACGGTTTGTCCCTTCCTGCGCAGTACGGATCCCTAGTAAACACCGTCTTGAGTAATGCGGTCCGAGACTATATTAGTGATTGGCACCCTCTTTTCAATATTGTTGAGGTGCCTCACCTATAAGTTAGGGACAACAAAGAACCACATTTCACTTTGACTCGGATTATTGCCCTTGAACCATCTGTAGTTACGTAATGCAAAGCACTTAATCTACCAAAGTATGCATGATCGAGATATTTGCGAGAGCTTGTGAAGTGTTGTAGAGATTTTCAGTAACAAAATCAACGTCATAGATTTTTGTCATGTATCTAAATCGTCAGCAGTACATTCTTAGCTCCAACAAACAATCTTTGGTAAATTACAAGTGTAGGGGGGGGTTCTAGTACCGAAAATGAATTGTGTAGATGTGATAGTATATAAACTTTTGATAATGGTAACGGATCGTGACACAGTCCTTCTGATTTATAACACAGTCTGCTAAAAGCTGACCAGTTTGTGTATCACTTAATTTGTCATCTTTTTTGGTAACTATTACAAATCTAAGTAGCTAGGAATGACACGATGCTTTGAAGAAGGTAAGTTGGAAATCGATTGATACGTAGTTAGGTTAGAACACAATCTTTAGACTCTTGCTGGCTGCATCATTCTTCTCCTATTGTCATCATGTAAAATGACCCCAGTTGATGCCTGACTTTATCGTTTAAGATGCGTACCATCCATGCACTTCACTTGAAAGCGAACGTCTTAGCTCGTACCACTATTATCATCTCCGTTCGTCGTTATTCCTCGAGCTTCCATTAGTTACAAAGGGGATATAGGAATTCTGTGGAGTGAGAAACAATCCGAGTACGAGAAGCTTTAATTTCCTGGATGTAGTTTATATGCACTATCTAGATTTTAGTCTAAATCAACTTTTTTGGCAGTAAAAACATATGGGCACATGTCCGTGATCATCCAAACAAACATTAATATGGGAAACCATTTCCTCAATGAGTCTCCTCTAACGCGTTGATTAATGTAAGCCATCAATCTTATCGTATTTCATTTGGCGGCAGAAGTCGTACATTTTTTATTTGTTCACTTTAACAGCTATGTCAATGGACCCTGCTGGTCGGTGTATTACGTACGTTCACTCCAGACTCGGTAAAATCTTCATTAAATTCTCTTGGATATTGAGAAGGCGCATATGAACAGCGTGGCCTGTTGATTGCGAGAAAGTTTGTAGTTGTGTGTAGCTGTCACGAGCATAAAACTCCATTGACCAACTACAATGCAGTTTAGGTAAAATTGTGGGGAGATAATCGCATGTCAGCAAACTATGGTATTCACATTGATGTTCTGTGGTGACTGTTTTTATTTTATGCATGACGGCCAATTTTTTTTAAGAGTTCTGATTTTTTTCCCTTGTTTCTTCATCCTAATTGAGGCTATTCCTGTAAACGCCTGCGCGATCGCACTGAAAATGCAACTTTGCCAGATACCCCGTAGTTTGTACAAACTCTTTAACATGATTTCATGTCCTGTGCAGCAGTAAAGAATCTAAAATATTCCATCTCACCCCTTGAGACGCATGGTATTCCAGCAAGGTGAACTGGGGGTTAGAGATACACATCGTGAGCTTCCAAAGCGCCGAGACTATCGACACCGTTGCCAAACTACATGTCCATGAAGCGGTGTATGAATACTGAAAAAGTAGATACAGCCCTCCCCCCATAAGATATCCCCCTATGGTATAACCTCTGCGAAGTTATACGTTTTCGGGTCCACCAACGCCGTTCCATGGCGACTATGGAATACGGAATATGGAATACCCGCCCAGGCCCAATATTACGTATCAGGGGGAGCACATTTTTTGTCAAGAGTAGATGAATATTGTTTGGAGCATCCTGGAGCCTATTTTAGCCATGAATCCAGTGTGGTTGACTTGTATTAGCACTACGAAGTTGGGCTTGAAAAGCGCGGCGGGCGGCGCGGTCTCGTTCCTGGGATAGATCAAGGAGGAAATGGACAAAGCAAGAGCAGAGAGCTTCTCAGATATGGAATGTGTCACCACCTCCTCCTCAGCTTCTCCTTCCTCCACCTCCTCAGCATCCTGGACGAGATTGATGATCTCGGCGTCGCTTAACTCCGCATGCGCCGTCGGCTCCTCATCAACTGGATTAAGCAGTGACGCAATAGACATTGGATTGCGCAAAGGCAGGCGTTGCAGAGCTGACTCCAAATCCTTCTCCACTTGCTGCTCCTCCTTATCAACCAGATCTGCATCCTGTTGCACAGGCTGCTGAATTTCTCCTGCTGAAGCGCCTCCTTCAACTGCTGGTGAAGTCGGCCCATTCACGAGTCCAGTATGCTTGAAGCAATTCGCAATGGTGGTGCTCGAAATCTCGCTCCACGCCATAAGTGACCAACGCATGGCTGTGACTTGATCCACTTTGTAGAGATCGGCCGCTCCCGCATCATCGCGATCCAAAGCGTTATGTAGGTGCAGACGCCGGTAGTGGCGCTTGAATGCAGCGATGATACCGGCGTCCATTGGCTGCACCTTGGATGTGGTACTGGGCGGCAGAGCCTGAACGGTGACGTTGGTGAGCACAAGATCCAAAGTTACGTGCGAAGGTGCATTGTCCATTAGCAGAAGTATTTTTTCCTGGCGCTAGAATCTTAGTAAGTACTCTGTTTTGCAGCTGATATCTTAGAATGGGCAAATGTTCAATTACCTTCATGTCTCTGTCCAGGTTTCCAATCCATTCCTGGGAAAAGACCCCAGTCATTCAGGCTTTCTTGCTGTAGCGATAAAGAAACCCGATCTCTTCTCCTGACTTCCATTGGAAGCAACGAGGCTTCTTTGCACGGCCGATGAGGAATGGAGGGAGCTTATCAGATCCATCAGAATTTGCCGTCAGAGCCACTGTAATGCGAGTAGGACAAACATGTCAATTATTCCTTTGATCCCACAGATTCCAAAAAGCCAAATGCAACTCACCTTGTCTTTTTTGAAGCCTTCAACTTCCTTCTGGGCAAAGTTTTTATCCGGTGTCATGCTGTTAAAAAATCCTGGAAATCATCTTGGCATTTATGACACAGAGCATAAAAGACTTCAGGAGAACTTACCGGTTTTGTCCATGTTGGCACATCACGGGGAGAAAACTTGGCGACGGCTGCTTGCAACTCTGGTAGAGCTTCTTCAAGTCCAGCCACATCGGCTGAACCGCTCTCGCCATGTATACGGACGGTCCTTAGCTTGTGACGCTGCTGGAATTTGTAGAGCCACCCATGGGCCAACTGAATTGATCCATCCGGAATAATCATGGACGTTGCAAAGCTTGCAGCTTTGGCACGGATCAGTTCTCCGGTGAGGACAACTCCACGATGCTGGCACTGCAAAAGTCAGAGGGCCACTGCTTCTTCCAAGGCAGGATGTTGAACTGAGCGGGGACGCTTAGCAGAGAGCTCTGATGGACTCATTGCTTCAAGCTCCTTCCTCTTGCTGATGATCTTGCTGATTGAGGCCTGCGTCATAGGTTTGGAAAGGACAAATTCCTCCTTCGTCCAGTTTCCAAGCTCTGTCTGGGTGAGGCTCGAATGATCATCTTTATGTTTGATAATCCTCAGATTCTGGTCGTTGGTGAGACGTAGTTCAGACATCTCTGATGTGTGGGTGGGTAAGTGGGTGGGAGGATGGGTAGGTGTGGGGTTCTGGGTTTTTGAAAGAAGTTGTTGGTTTGGGAGAGGAATGGAAGTGGACAAGAAGCGAGAGAGGGAAAGTTAGAGGGAAGGTGAGGTGTGGATGTAGGAATGTAGGGATTTTTGTTTGGTCGGGAAAAAAAAGGGTGCCTTTTATACCCCGACTCCCGGTGGCCAGCCCTCCAGGCGAGTTGCAAAAGGTTGCGCAATTGCGCACAAAATGTAAACAAGGTACAGTACTTGAACTGTGTACGAAGGTACTTTAACCGTGTTTGGTTCAATGACTCAGTTGAGTGTGATACAATCAATTAATTGTGTTCAATTAAATGTGTTCAAGTTGGATTCGATGCACTCACAAAGACAATGCATGATACGCACAAGGACTCCATAATTTCCATAGGCGGTGCCCAGACATGTCCTCCGCCAGAAGGGTAAAGAAAATGTTCTGTGGTCCGCTAATTGGAATAATAAATGACAATCGTGATACTAATACTAATAGTTATGCATAAATTGTACAGTATTGATAAGTAATAAGTTAATAAATAGTCAGCTTTTTGATCGTTACTAAATTGATCAATCCCAAATGAAATAAACCCCTGACAAGTTATAGAATCTGGCCTTTACCAAGACTATTACTTATGAGGGGAGAACTGTATTAGACAAAAATTGGAAAAGTGTATGTGATTAATATCTGGAGCTAAATTAAGGCTATCACTTAAACGCCGCTACTTTCTTGTTCCGTCGCCCTGCAATTTTACTCAAATATGCTGCAAATACCCAAAAAGATACCCAATTGTAAACCCCGCGTTTGCTGCTCCCGAAACACATATGTACTTGCCGAAATTAGTTTTTACATTTTTTCATTTTTCATCGTTTTATCGTTGCCTTCTATTTTTTCGTACGCTCAAGCAGAGACTGCAGTCTTTTTCTTTCGTTTGTACATTTCGTTTCTTTGGTGCTTGCTGTATTCTTGACCGTTACTCAGCTAGCGTCTTGCGGCGTGGATAATCAGATTTGCGCGTTGTGTCCAAAGCAACGACACATTCGACAACGCCGAGCAACGAGTATGGCTCATCCGCCGGCTCCACATGTTTAAATTCCGGAAGTAATCGCTGCGTAGATCTAAAGAAAGGTGGTCCGCCTATCTGATGTCCATCCGCATGCTTGGATTCTTTCTGGTTCATTTACCATTGTCGCATTGCCATGATTCGAGCTCAATAGACTGTTTAAAATACCTGTGATTGCCCTAGCTGCTGACTGCGTTACCCAACGAGATTCTCTTTTGAGTACCTGGCAGCAAACGACTTACTTCCATCATCGACGCTACTCGAAAATTATCAAGAAGACAGGACTACGTATCGTTCACGCGGGTACGCCTGTCGTCATGCATTTATCTTTTTCTGTAGGACTACGGGGCTAACAACGGAGCAACGAATATTTTACTAGATACGTGGATAGAGGCTTCTTCTTACCTCATAAGCGTGGTCGAGAGCATGGACTTAGTCCTGTGTTTCTTTTCTTCTTGACCTCCAGCCTTATGGTTGACCACGTTTCGTAGCTTCCTTCTCACAAAGCGCAGCATATTCGGCCATGTTGGCAACCTTGCGCTTCCACATCGCCTAGCGAATATATTCGTGTATGTGCTGCTTTTGTAATAACCTCACGCTTAATTTCCTCCATACGTCTCCGTGTCCACCTGCTCACGCATTTTTTATGGCTTCTTCTTTGGATATTCCACTATTGAATCCCAAGCAAGAAGCGATAGAACGAAACGATAGAACGAAACGATAGAACGATGATAAAATGCAAAAACGAATTTCGGCAAATACGATTACGTTTTGGGGGGCAGCAAACGAGTGGTATCCAATTGGGTACAAATTTTGGTAATTGTAGTATATTTGGGTAAAACTGCAGGCGACGGAACAAGAACGTAGCGGCGATCAAGTGATTCCCTTTTTATTGATTCCCTCATAAGCCGTCCTACCACGACAGACTGACCGCCTTGACGGTGGAAACGTCGACCCAAGCACCTTATTCTGTGAACATATATGATTGAGTGCATCTATCCTAAAAGGCCGTCGCGTGCTTAGCTCTATCCAATCCACTTGTAATTCTATCAAAACGGCTTCGCCATGATTGAGATGCAATCGAAATCAAGAGTACATCGATTATCTCGACAACCTGTACGCCGATTGAGGTCTAAAAGAAGCAAAAAACTTAGTCATGATGATCCGTATTACGACAAGCTCTCCATGACAGCAAGTGCCACGAAGATGAAGCAGGCAATCAAAGCCCTAGTCTTCGCCTTGGGTGGACGACCACCATTGTGTGGCCACGTGCCTGATCCCGCGAACGAGTCCATGTCCCGTGCTTTCGACTGTAGTGTATTTCATGTCAGCCGTTGGAGTAGATTGGGAACGTACGTACCTGCCTTACCGTTCTCATAAGAATGTCCACGTAGTGGATTTGGAAGAACATACGTGAATTGTAAGGACGCGCGCGATGTGAGTAGATAAAGCGCTCCTCATGGGCGACATCTCTTGCGCTCACGGCCACAACTGCATCAAGTATACGTGGTACTTCTGCTTACCACCTGCAGGTGTACCCTGACATCCATTACTTCACGTCTGACAGCAACGACAATGTTGAAAGAAGCACGACAGCTGGTGCACGAACTTCCGAGTAGTTCACTGCGATGAGTCTGACCACCTTTACGCAGTCTTGCTTCAAGCTTCAAGTACGCGTTTACAGTCCCCTCTACCTTCCAAAAGCATCTCGATGGTATTCCGGCTGATGACGCTGCTCCCGGTCGCACACTTTGTATTGCGCTTCTCCTTATATCTGAAAAAAGTCGGTAGGAGGTCACAACATCACTGGATATCGCAAAGTAGTCTACTGGCTTGGACACATTCGTTATTGCTGGTAGTATGTGAACATTCAGCAGCTCGCTAGTGATGCTATCCCATGGCACTATCCAGTCAGCTTACCCCACAACTTTGTTTGCATCAAATGATTCTTGCATATTGGTATCGGATACGAAACACCGAGCGGTGTCACTTCGACTCGCTTAATCGTCTGCAGTGACCACTCGTCCAGGATCTTGCACAAGTTTCTCCTCTGCTTTGGTCGCAGCAGCGCAGCAGTCGTAGTACTGCTTGATAACGGCTGTGCATTTGCTCTCCTGGTACCCGTGGCGCTGCAAACAGAATTGAATGGCGCAGGCCTGTTTCTTGCACACGCGCTCGCATAGCGCTTTCTCAAATGTCATCGGAATTCTTAGCAGAGACTGATGGCCAGGCTCTCGCGAAATCAGCTTTGATCGACCGGAAAAAGCGCAAAAACCAAGGCCTGTAAGCCCGCAAAGTTGTGAAAAGTCATATATATGCGTTGATACTACCGCGATTGGCGACTGACTGAAAACGCTGGAGTCGTGTCTGCTCCCGGCCACTTCCGTCTAAACGCCTAGACCGTCATGTCCTCTTCCTTGGTCGTCGCAGAATTGGCTGGAGGCGTGTGCATAGGAGGCGTGTAGTCCGGGACGCCGCGCGTGAACGATGGGTGCTTCATAATAACAAAGTAATTGAAGTACGCGTTGGCAAAGCCTGCGAGCGAGACGAGCACGCCGTAGATGCCGCACATTCCAAACGGAAAAATAGAGATCCTGTGTACCAGCATGCACCGTCACTTTCCGCTAGTGCAGCACGACCAGCAACGACTTGACAACGTACATGCTCAAAAAGAGACATCGACCCCAGGGACTGTACATGAAACCAAAGCTGCCACGCAGCAGCTTGTCAATGTAGGCAGTACGGAGCTCGTAGCCAACCAGCAGCAGCGCAAAAAAGCTATAGCCAGCAACAAAGTCAGCGCGTGGCCCTTCTGTCACCACTTACATTTTCACCGCATGTTCAACTGATGTCGTACATGGTGTAAATGACGGAGAAAGCGTCTGCCATGACAGAGAACGCCGAGTTCGAGTACGTCAGTTGACCCACAGCGAGCACAACCATGCAGCCAGCCATCGTCAAGTTTATCATGCGCATGGCCGACATGACGCCGGATGCGGACGAGCCCATAATGCTGACACACACAATATACAGCACACGTTATGCTGCATTAGTCCGTTTAGTCACGCGGTGATACAGGACAGCTCTCCAAGAGACGTACATTTCGCGCGTCTTGGCTCTCAGCTCGTCCCAGACTTCCCGGACGGAAATGGCGTTCGCAGAGTCGGTCACAGTACCAGCAGCAGACGGCGGCGGGGGTGGCAGCTTCAGATCTTCGGGGTTCAACGGTGGCAGCTTTCCATACGTCGTCCTAGTCAGTCAAGTCATAAACCACGGGATACGTCCGTTCATTCCTCTCGGAAGGACACAAAGCACAGCGCAATCAATACACAAGAACGTACTCGGCACCCAATGGCCCAGCGTTCAGCACGCTGCCTCCTAGCACAGCGTCGGTCTTCATCCCGCACACGCCTTCTCTCGGTCACTCTCTCGCGCTCTCTCTCTCTCTCTCTCTCTTCAAGTCAGTCGCTCGAACGGGGTTACGGTATAACTTCGAGGCGTTCCTGTGAATTACGTACGAGACACAACATTCGAATTTGGGGTCGCGAGTGGAGCTGTGCGATTGGCTGAAACTGCTGGTCCTTTAGTCTCGGGAGGCGGCGGACAAAAATAGACTTGACTGAACACGATCGACGATAGCGTTTAGGGGCACGACGATCACGCGAACACGAGTGACGACGATACAGTAGCGAGTCGTGTGACTGACGCACAGAACTTGAGGATTCGATACTAATAACTTAGATAAGGTCGATCGTCCAATCGTCCGTTTGACCGTTCGATCGCGACGTCTTTACTGACAACTACTGCCTTCGAGCGTATCCATTGACGACATTGACGCGGTAGATCCCGTTGAGACGCTGCTGCACTCGCTCAAGCTCCTAGTCTTCCGTGAAGAACTACTGGCCACCACCTCCCTTGCAAAGCCAGCCAGCTGCGATTTCCTCTTGAGTGCCTCGACTCGACCCTTCATAGTCTCGACTTGCACGAGCCATCGCTCGTCCTTTTCGAATTCCAATAGCCGCGACTGCGAGCTCTCTATCCTGGCAGCAAACGCCGCGTAGCTCGCGACAGGGGCACGCACTCGACTGGAGACAGGGGTCGGTGGTTGCACGTACACTGCATGAGTCCCGCTATCAGAGCTAGGCGGAGACATGCGACCTCGTGATACGCCTTTCGAAGTCGACCGTCGCACCGAATGGATCTTCAGATGACGCTCGCGCGATCTGGGCTCTCGAATCTTGCTCTCGAAGTTCGGGGCGAGCATGGACGACGACGACAACGGTGCACAAGTAACTTCCAGTGCACCACTCGACTCGTGCTTGCTGTCTTGCTGCTCCTGCTCCTGTTCAACCTCCTCAATCCTTTCGTCAAGAGCGTCTTCTGTATGCTGATTCCGCTCCTGACGCATGTCCTTGGCCGTTCCAATCACGGACGGGACCTTGACATCTGCCAGTCTGTCGTAGTACGTCACTAACCCCTGGACGTTACCACGCTCAGCAGACCGCACCGAGTGCTTGGCCGAGTCTGCAATGGCTGCCGCCGCCATCGTCTCGAACTTCTCGACGATGCTGCGCACTGTCATCGCCTTTGCTTCAGCCTGTGTCTCGTTTCTCTCTCTCTCTCTCTCTCTCTCTCTCTTTCTACCCCCTTACCAGCCTCAGTGGTACTCCGTGCTCTCCCTGTCAAGCTGCTGCCAAAACGCTGAATGGCACGTGCGGATCGACTGCGCGTGGAGAACTTCCGACGCGAGTGACGACGACAAGGCGACAAAACGAATGCGGTGCAAAGCCACCAAGAGACCGCGCCGAGTGCAAAGCGACCGACGCACGCGTTGGAGTGGGGCAAAAAGACGTGGCCGAAGCTACTTCAAGCCGCTGTTGGATAGACGACAGATTTTCAGAGGTGTCAAGTGGGACTCGTTGTTGCAGCGAGCCAGTGAGCTCGAGCCCACGGTGGACCATTGACGACCGCAAGGACCAGGTCGTGTCGTACGTCACGGACCAGCTGCTGAGCTTTGGCAAAGCCTCTTGCCACTCTGACGACAGCACGATGCAACAACACGTTAGCCCACCACAACAGGAAGACAGTCGCTATTTCGTGTGGTGTCCACCATAAACAATCCACTCTCCCTCGAATCCGCGGATATGTCTCGATCACCGCCTGCATCTGCCTAAGTATCCAAGTCTCCACGATCGTTTTTTTTGCGAGGTGTGTGCCTTTTTATGCGCTTCAGTCTAAAGTATCCATTCCAGCATGGAGCTCGAGGTTGGCGCGCGCGTCACATTTGGCGCCAACAAGTCGGGCATTGTGCGGTTCGTAGGCGAGACGGACTTTGCCAGTGGCCAGTGGGTCGGCATCGAGCTCGAGCGGCCGGAGGGCAAGAACAATGGCGAGCTCAATGGCCGCGTCTACTTTACGTGCGCCCCGAGCCACGGACTCTTTGTCAAGCACTCGATGGTGCGCTCGGTCGTCTCTCCGTCGCCTGTGATTGGCTCGCACACGTCGCAGACTCGTCAACCAGTGGCTACAAAGGCAAGCTCTCGGGTTTTGGAACCCAAGCCGCGGACGTCGGTGGTAGTAGCGCCAAGTACGCGGTCCAATGTCTCGCTGATGGCGGCCGCGGCGAGGTCGAGGCTGTCGCTCGATCGACGTACGTCGGATAGCAGTCGCATGTCTGGGAGTGGAGTTACGACGGAGGACCAAGTGACAGCAGCAGCGGTGCGGATCGCGCAGCTGGAAGAGGCGCTGGAGCAGAAGAACCGACAGCTGGAGCAGCTGCGACAAAGTGTGACAGTGATGAAGGAGGCGGCGGCAGCAGCGGCAGGTGATGGTACCATGTCCGTACAGCTGGTGACAGAGCAGCAAGGACAGGAGATGCAGGTGGCTGGAGAGCTCAAGAACCAAGTGGATGCAGAAGGAGACGAGATGATGGAAGAAAGCGACGATAATGGGCCAAACGACGATGGGAAGCTGACGCTGCCAGCGACGGCAGCGTTGCAGGAAGAGCGGGTGCATGAGATTGAGCACATTCGGGAAGAGGCAGAGGAGCACGTGCGAGTCGTGCGTGCAGAGCTGGCAGATCATATTGGGCAGTTGCAGAAGCAGCAGGAGATGCAGCTTGAGGAACTACGGCGTGAGAATACGATGCAAGCTTCAGTAGTGAGTGCGCTGGAGGCGGAAGTAGCACAGCAGAAGGCGCGGATTGCAGCATTTACAGCTGCTGAGCAGAAAAAGGCAGAGGAAGTGGCGATGGCTGTGGCCAAGTCAAGCTCGGGTGCTCGCAAGGTGGAAGCGCTTACGAAACAGGTGGTGGAGCTGCAGGATATGATTGAGATGATGACGTTGGAGCGAGAGACCGCCGAGATGGACAAGGAAATTGCGGAAGAGCATGCTGAAGAGCTGCAGCAGGAAGTGGAGAAGCTCAAAGCTGCAATGGCGCTATCGGCGACGACAGGACCTGACTACTCTGAGCAATGTGCTGCTGGCGCTGGAGAGTTGGCGGACGAGAACCAGAAGCTCCGAGCGGCGGTTAAGATGCTGCACGAGCGCGGGTCTGAGGAAAAAGCCGAGCTTAGCAAGAAGTTGCGACAGGCTCAGCGTGAAAATGCGGAACTCGTGTCATTGCGGGAGGAAGTGGAAGAATTAGTGCGTGATAACGGTTGTGCTTGTGTTGAGATTGAGTGTGTGCTGATGCTTGTTCTTTGCTCTGAATATGCAGACGACTAAGAAAAGTAAGCTCGAAAACGAAGCGGAAGAGCTGAAGGAGATGCTGGACGTTGCGAACGCGTACGAATCGATGGTGGAAGACCTTACAGAGAAAAATCTGACTCTGGGTGAGAAGCTTGCCGAGCTAGAGACCACTGTGCAGTCGCTTGAATCGTTGCGTGAAGTCGATCAGGAAATGGAACACCAGCATACGGAGTATGAAGCAGAGCTGCGAGATGAAATCGACTCGCAGCGTGCAGCGCTACAGGAGTTGAAACAGGCGGCGTTGAATCAGAAGGTTGTCTTCGAGGATAAGGAGCGCACCATTGCTCGCTTCCGTGATCTTGCGCACGGCCACCGGGAAGAGATTGCGCAGCTGAAGGCAAAACTTCGTGATGAGAGTGGTGCTGTGGAGTCGCTGAAGGACACGGCACATCTGGCGCTTAACCAAACCATGGGGCTGCGCACACTGGTAGCAACGGCACGCGAGCACGAGATCGAGGCAGCAAAGCAGAAGATTACATCTGACCAGGCAAGGCTGGAGATATCGTTTTTGCGCGCTGTGGTGCCTAACTCAATTTTTTCCGAAGCTGACCAAAAGGTACTTTGCGTCCGGTTGACGCTTGGGCGTATTGCTGGCAAGGTCGACATATTGTTACACCACTTGAACAAGGAGTTGGATACAGCCGCACGTCAGCAAACTGTAAGTGACCAGCAGGAGGGGGAGAAGAACGAGAGTGTGTCCGGTGCGGTAGTCTGTGTCGAGCACTTGATACTGGGCGATAGGCTGGCGGCGGTCTCGTGTCAAACAAAGGAAGATCTGTTTATGCTCGAGTGTCACCTGACCACAGAGGAAGAATTTGCCGAGGGCTGCTCAGCGCTTGACACTTCACACACAGCTGCGTTGGAGAGTGTGCTGGATTCAGCGCTTTCAGCTTTTTCCGAGGGTGCCTTTTTGAATGGCTCCCGCAGTAGCAGCGACGCTGCGTCATTGTACGACCGCCTCTTTCAAACTTCAGAGGAATGGCACAGTAGTCGCGTTGTCCAGGTATCTTCAGCTACGGGTGCCGAGAGCTTTGGTGCCCGCTGTGCTGTGGTAAAGCTGCGTGCGAGAAAAAGCGTGGCCAAGCTGGCGTTTTCGATCTCATCGATGGTGACTTTCTTGCGCACCACGAAGAGCGTGCTGGCAAGTTCTGAGCCGTCTAATGAAGAACAAGCAAGCATGCTGCGCACAGAATTGATGCCGGTGCTAGACAAGTGTTTGGGAGAGCTACTCTCGCTACTGAATGTCGCGCAGCTGTTCTATCGCCGCGCAGAGATTGACCTGGCGGCTTCGGACGATGACCTCGATGGACTCGTGGCGGCGGGCGGTGAAGTGGTGACTTCCATTCATAATTATGGTGTAGAGGCACAGTCATTGCTTGCTGCGCTGCAGTCGCATCTTGACCAAGACGGTTCACCGGTGCATGGAATATCGGCAGAAGAGCTGATGCAATTTACGCAGCAGGGCGTATACGACCATGTTGTGGCGTTCAAGGAAAAGCTGGCTATACTGTACAAGCTGGTGTGTCGCGGTGCCTTTACTGATGCAGTGGCTCCTCGTAGTCGCAACGAACCCGCGTATAGTGCTAATGGGCGTCCCCAGTGGCGTATCCGAGCGCAGGCCATTCATCAAGAGCTAGTAGACGCGTCAGCTCTTCGGAGTAACTTGGCAGAAATGACCGAGCTGTGCAACACGTTGCATCAGCGTATTCGCGAATTCGAGCGTGCAGACAGCCAGCACCGTGTAGTAGCACAGAAGCTGGAAAGTCAAGTGCTGCAACTGACTGACGGCATGGCAGCAGCGATAAGCGAGAAGACACACTTGGAATCACAGCTTTCGAAGGAGCGCGAGCAGTTCGTTGTTGCGCTGGACGAGTCGAATAAAGAGAAGACGTTACTGAGCTCTTTGAACCGGGATTTGCGCAAGCAACTGAAGCGCACGAGTATTGCAAAGGACGGAAGTGGCGGCAATGCGGTCACAAAGGAGTCGGTGCCGAGTGCAATCGATGCGGAAGCTTTCCAGCGTGCTTTTCATCAACTGCACACAGAGCTGCACAGGGTGCGTTCTGCGCTGGCAAAAGAGCGATTGGAGAGGTTGCTAGGGTCAAGTGCTGGTCTAAACACACGCCCGTCATCGGTGTCAACGAAATCGGATCGTTTGGCAAAGTCACTCACGGAGGTTGCGGCATTCTCGCGACAGGTGAAGGCTCAACTGTCGATGCCGCGTCTGGTCGATCTCAAGCAGGCTGCTTCTTCCTCGGGGTCGTCTGCGCGCGCTCAATTGACGGCGAAGAAGTTGCAGCAGTCACGCCTGCAGCGAGACTTGACAGCCCTTCGTGAACGCGTCGGAGCTGCGGTGCGCGACGATGGATGGGGTGATGAAGTGACAAACGCTATCACGCGTGGCGAACGGGTGTTTGGTTGGCAGCCACCGAAGGTGGCGCGTCCACCCGTTTTTATGGTACGCGTGAAGCTCGGCAGCAGTTCAGCTACGGATTTGCCGTCTGTGCAGCTCGTGTTGAACCAGCCGGAAGTGAAATACCTGTCGGATGCTTTGATGTGCTGAGTGCGATCGCAAGAGAGTGATGGAAGAAATGCGAGCGCGAAGGTGATCAGGACTGCGTATCGAGGTGTTTGTGTGTGTGAATGGAATGACGATGAGGGGATTCATGAGTCTAATTGTATCGTATGGTCTCAGTCCATTTACCAGCGACCTGTTAAACGCGGGAAGTCCTCGATACAGATATCGTGCCTAAGCAGCGTCATTGATACTCGCGTGTAACTTCAAGGGCTCCATAAACACATGGTATCGGGGATCGCTTTTGCCTTTCTTCGACGATATTAATCTAGGGCTCGACATGGAACGCCGTACCATATTCAAGTACCGTGTTGTTGGCATGCAATGTCTACATCTGCCGCGCTTGACATCACTTGGTAAGCATTTCAATGCTAGAATCCAAAAATGAATGTGATCGGTACGAGCGACTGCACTGCTAAATCAGGAGCCCGCTTTTGCGGCAAGCTCTGCTATCACTGTCCTACAAGATGTAAACTCTGTTGGTCCCTGTTGGTCCCTTCAACACAACGACAACTGACACTAGTGCCAGAAATATCCTGGAAGAGCCGAATAGTGTTCGACATGATCTTCCAGACGCGCCACTTGCAACGAGCGTATCTTGACGTCTGAACTTTATTGAAATCGGATGTCAAGTTACAGCACTCCCTCACTAGTCCACATGCTTTTGTCCCCTATCTCCCACTCCGAGCGGACTTTGCTTTAGAAACCGACCCAAAACGGAAATGACATGGGCCCATTTGACTCTTGTCAAACCTAATACTGACTTCCACGGCACAACTCGCGGTCACAACGTGCCCAGTATGCTGTCCAGCTCCGGCTTTTCTTTCGGCTGTGTCGACATCCCCGCCCTTCCCACCGCTGTAGGCTATCGATGCTCTAACTATCTGTCGGTGTCTGCTCGACGTTGCAACAATCGAGTAGATCGCATTCCAACGCGGTGTTAAAGCACTGCAATCGATCGAGTCTTTGGATTCAGACGATCACTATCGTATGCGCAAGTGCTTGCGCATTACACGTGCAATGCAAGGATCTTTCTCCCGCTTCTGTGCATGGCCGATCACACTCAGTCTTCTTAGGAATCGATGTCCACCAGGAAGGTGCTCAACGGATCTCGTCTGACTGGCGTCTGAGTTGGAGACATTGCATTCGGTCTGAATCGATTGCCTCGAGTCCCACATGACGTAGGAGCTCGACCAAAGGAAGTGATGCACTAAGACCAGTTGTACCATTGTGAATCTCCGTGGTATCCAGTGAGTTTCGACGGAGCCATTCCGTATTGAATTTGGTACAGTGTCATGAAACAAGGTGCGTGCAGCTGCGAGCACGGCAGCTCTTCTTGAGGCGCTTGTGTGTGCTAGTTAGCGTCTTGCTGCTCGCGCGTGCATTGCTGCAGAAGCGGCAAGCTCTTGTCTCATGCTGTTGCAGCGTCGCATCCTTTCGTCACTACTCGTTGCCATCAATTGACAAAGACGTGACTGTCCGTGCGATCCATCCGCGCGCTACTTCAACGAAACAGGATGATCACCAACGAAGCCAATCGTTCATTAACTCTGTGGAGTTTTCCATTCATTTGCCAGTCACGTCGAGTCTTTTTCCACCGCCGCCTATGGCATCACCAACTCGATATCAGAGCGTAGTGTTGCAACCGATGCATCGATGGCCTCTATCATGCAAAACATTGCATGCCCACAATCGACAGACGAGGGAGTTCTAATCAACAGATCTTCAGCACTATACTCGCGTGTCGAATAGAAGGGCTGCGCAGACGTACGTAGTACCTACGCACTCGAGTGGGCTATCTTCTAACTCCGTACTTTGGGCTCTCGAAGCACGTGAGAGCCTAGATGGACCACGTCTAGTGACTAAAAGTGGCGAATGCAAGCTCGCGCAGGTTCTGATACGAGGCCGACTGTATAGTGATCCTAAGCTAAGTTGCCTGCAGGCGATGGGTTACAACTGTACATACCACAGCTACTCACTCGTACCCCCCCCTCCAAGTCGCTATAGAAATAAACGCATGCCAAATGGAAAATGTAGGAAACCCCTGTCCCGATGCTGCACCGTGTTGATGTCTTCCGTATTTCTGACCAATCACGGCGCTGACATCTCGAAGTCGACCGTGGCCAGTGAAGAGCTCAATTAAGCCATCGCGGTGCAGCCATCTCGCCTTGCTGCTGTTGACGTCCGTGCCGTTCGACCATGAGGGTCCAGACAATCTCGCGGGTCGAGAAAGACTTCACGCAAGAAGTCCAGTCCGACAAGCTCAAGGTCTTCCGCAACTACGACCCAGCGCTTCACCCGTTCGAGCGTCCGCGTGAGTACACGCGTGCTCTCAATGCCGTGAAATTGGAGCGAATGTTTGCCAAGCCATTTATTGGAGCTCTGGATGGCCACTGCGATGGTGTCACGGCTTTAGCGACCAGTCCGTCGAGTCTAGTACCGCTCGTGAGTGGCGCGGCAGATGGCGAAGTGCGTGTGTGGGATCTGCCTCGACGGAAATGCGTGTGGAACGTGTACGGCCATCGCGGCTTTGTGCGTGGCCTAGCAGTGACGCCAGATGGCAGCACGTTTTACTCGTGCAGTGAAGACAAGACCGTGAAGCAATGGGCGTTGCGCGTAAAGAGCGAGGACGGGGACGTCCCGACTGCATTGGCCACGTTTACGTCCAAGGAACCCTTCCTGTACGTGCACTGTTTGCGATCAAAGCAGACTAGACACGGAAGTAGGTTGACGCTGATATACTTGTGATGTGATAGCGGCATTGACCACCACTGGTCGCAGAAGATGTTTGCCACATGCGGCTCCAAGGTGCAAGTTTGGGACCCTTTGCGTTCCACGCCCACGCACGAGTTCGCGTGGGGTGCGGACTCGATCAACTCGGTGCATTTCAATCCAGCAGAAGCGTCACTACTAGCGTCGACCGGATCGGATCGCAATATCACATTGTACGACATTCGCGTAGCGTCGTCCATGCGTAAAATCGTCATGGAGATGCGCTCGAACGCGCTCGCGTGGAATCCCATGGAGCCCATGAACTTTACAGTTGTAAGTGTCTTGTGTGAAACGACGATGACGACTTCGCTTTTGCTCGTTTGTTGTAGCTTCGGACTCTTCTGCAACTAACCTAGCGGTGATGCTTGTACCACTTGATGGGGGTCTGCAGGCCAACGAGAATCACAACCTGTACACTTTCGACATGCGCAAGATGAACCGTGCAATGATGGTACACAAGGATCACGTCTCGGCAGTGTACGTTTTCATCCCTCAGGTTGCCCCATTGGCCAATGTGGCGATCGTGTCTAACGTGACGAGTTGCGTGTTGTACTTGTGCCTCGTTTTCTTCATAGAATGGACGTGGCGTATTCACCGACAGGTCGAGAATTCGTGGCAGGATCATATGACCGGACCATTCGGATCTTCAACGTGCGTTCGACGAAAAGCCGGGAGGTTTACCATACCCAGCGGATGCAGCGGTACGTTTGCAATTACGTGGTCTTTTCGACTGGCGAGACGTCGTTGGTTGCACGTTGTCCCACCCGTGTCAACAGTGGCATCGCATACGGTCGTTGAGCTGTAAACATGACGTGGACGTGGACATGAATGTCCATGGGTCACTATGGAACGGCTGCCAGGAGACTGGCTGCTTTCTACTTGATGTGCTACTCACTATCTACATGACCTGCTCACGTGACTGCTGTGCTGTTGACGTGTGTGTGTGTGTGTGCGTTTCTCTCTCTCTCTCGCTGTAGAATCTTCTCGGTCAAGTTCAGCGCGGATTCCAATTTCGTCTTGTCTGGAAGTGACGATACGAACATCCGCGTCTGGAAGGCCGAGGCTTCCAAGAAGCTCTCAAAGGTACGCGCATCCACGCACTTGCTGCCCCTGAACGCGTGTGTGGACGTTCAGTTTTGCCGCACCGTTTCATGCCATGCGTTTCGACATTTCCTCCGGTTTCGGTTCTGATCCATTCCCACGTCGTGCAACAAACGAACTGCCTACTGAACCAGGTAAATCCACGCGAGCGCCGCAAGATCGAGTACAACGAGTCACTGAAAGATCGCTACCAGCATCTCCGGGAGATTAGCCGTATCGCCAAGTACGTTGCGTGCTGTCTGCAGTACTTGCTGCTGCTGCAAGAAGGCAGACGCTCTTTTGCCACGCTGTTGAGTCCTAATGTCGATTATTCCATGGCTCTTGTTGGACACGTGTGCAGACATCGCCACGTCCCGAAGGCGATCAAAAAAGCTGCACACGCTAAGCGCGAGGCCAGTTCGCGCGACCAGAAGAAGATGGCGAACCGCCGCGCCCATGCGAAAGAAGGGGCCGTGCCCCACACGAACATTCGAGAGAAGGTCGTTGTGAAGGAGATGGAGTAGTTGACTCGTGCGCAAAAGGATGGCAGACAGCAGTGGCTTCGTCGAGGTCGTCGAGGTCGGACGACATCCCCTGCTCGTGTATCTGGACCACCTCCTGCACTTGTGACGTCGCGGAGCTGGTCGCGTGTCTGGCTGGCGCCGTGCTCGCTGGCTCTGGTGTTTCGCTTCGCTGCTGCGTTCCGGCTCTCTCAATCTGTTGCGACTACCGTCCCAAGGGATATTCGCAGCAGCTGTCGTGGCGCATGGATGGATGGATGGATGGATGCATGTATACTAAACATCCTCGCGTCGGCACGCAGGCAGCTCGACGCAGTAGTATACACGAGTCCTACCGAACTGTTCAACGTGCGCACGGGCCCGTTCTATCATTGTAGATGACGTGCGCGGCATCAGTCTGCCCTCTTTTTCTCGACAGAAATATCTTTTTCCGTCCGTCCGTCCGTCGGCCTCCTCACGTGCGTGCGCCATGTCGTCGTCGTGCCCTCGTGCTGTCTATGAAAAGGCCGTAGAGTCGCACGACTTCTGGGTCCACAGCCGCCGCGTGCCCATCGTAGCAAGCTTTCCCTTGAAAAGCATTGCCGACGCGCGAGTGAAACGGACGGGCCACATCAAGTCGATGATTTGCAACTGGTCGGCCCCGGGTCTGAGTTCGCGTCCGTGGTTTGCGAGCTCTCCCGTCTGAGCCGTGCCCCAGCCCGAAGACGTGATGGCGGCTCTCGATAGAGAAAAATGAGACGGACGGCGACGTCGAGAACGTTCGCAATGGTGCGTGCGCGCAAGAAGAGGAGCGAGAGAAAACAAGAGAGCTAGAGAGGAGTTGAGACTCGCCAAAGACACATCAGTTGACTCGACACGCACACGCGTGTGTGTGATGCTTTTCTACTTCCAGTCGTGGCCGTGACTGACAGAGAGTTCACCAAGTACAAGAGCCCAGCTTTTCGATCGTAAGCACGGATTCCCCCACCAAGTCCTTCAGTTCTTGAGGTTGCGACCGAGAACGAAGAGACTCAACTGCCCCACGTTGAGCCTCTTCACAACCGTGACGCCATACGTTGCGTGTTGCAGTCAGTAGTCGAAATGGACGTCGCGAAGCAGAAGAAGAAGAAAAAGAGATGCTTCTTACAAACGCACGCGCTCACTCACTCACTACTCTCACATGCAGAAACAATCCGCCCACGCAGTGGTAGGACCTACACTCGCCTCCTGCCAAGCACCGTCGAATAGTCAGCAGCTGGACAAAACAAAGATGCAGTCAACACACAAGGCGCGTCTGAAAAGAAGGGCCCCGAAAAAAGGGTGGTGTGCCAATGTGCCACTTGGCTCGCCACGTACAGTACAGAACTGACTGGATGTACCTACGTCGCAGCGTCTGTGGGCGGAGCAAAGGGGAGAAAAACCGTCCAGTCTTGCGCGTGGGCAGCAGACGGGCCAGCCAGCCAGCCGATGGACGGACGGACGGACGGACCATCACTCCTGCTCGCCTCTCCCTCCTCGTCGCGAGCCTCTCGTGACGGTCTCACAACGCAAATTCGCGCCCAGGCCACAAGTCCGTGGCGTTTAGTGTGCATCTGAGCGTCCGTGCGACTGCTTAAAGTCCCATTCACATTGCGCGTAGCTCATTCTATAAATAACCACCTTAGTACAGGCCCAAGCCAAGCAAAGAGAGAGAGAGAGAGAGGGAGAGAGACCTTTCACAGCTGCACTAGGCAAACAACCGTCTGCACCACTCGCTCGCTATTCGTCGTCTCTATCTGCGCTCCATGAAGGCCAAAGCTTCGAGCGACGTCAAGTCCGTGCTCGAGCTCGCCGAGTCGAGCGAGTGGAGCGCCCTCGACCGCCTCGTGACTTCCGAGCCCGAGCGCGCGGACGACATGGACGACTTTGGCATGATGCCGCTGCACTGGGCGTGCACCGACACGCACGTGCCTCTCCGCGTGGTCAAGAAGCTCGTGGACGTGGCGCCCTCGGCACTGAGTCACAAGAACAAGGGCGGGCTCTTGCCGCTGCACATTGCAGTGAAAGCTGCGACGCGGCTCGAGGTCCTGCGGGCGCTGGTGCAGGCGGCGCCGGACGTGGCGGCGTGTCTCTTTGAAGAGACGCCCACGGGCGAGACGCCGGCTGAACTGGCCAAGACGTACCAGCTTACGGACGACAAGGTGCAGTTCTTCATGGACATGGAGGCGCAACTCCGAGCTGAAGGCCGCGCGCCGGACCGCCCAAGTGCGCGGTTCCAAGCCTTTTTGAACCAGCCTGGCGGGTTGTTCCATCTGCCATCGTCTTCAGACGAGACCGCTAGTGTCAGTAGCTTTCGAAGTCTTCCTACTGCGTTGGGAACTAGTATTACTAGTAGCAGAGAAGGTGGTGGTGGTGCTGGTGGTGGGCTCGATGATGGCTGGACAAATAGCAATAGCAGCAATACCACGGGGAGTCGAGGTGCTTGCCCGCGACTTCCAGAAGGACTCGCGGGCGTGCCGTTGCCGCCGCGGTGGCGACTGGATAAACGATGCAACATTTGTCAGCTCAAGTTCAGCTACTTCAAGACGCGGCACCACTGCCGCTCGTGTGGCGAGTCCGTGTGCAGCACGCACTCGAACAAGCGTCTGCCGCTGCATCATTTGGGGCTCAAGGCGCCACAGCGCGTGTGTATTTTGTGCTACGATGATTTGCGTGAGAATGGCGCGCCTTCAGCTGTCGTGAATATGTACGGCCATGGACGACATAGTGGCTTACCATCGATGGAGTCCAATATGATGGAGCAGGAATTCGGACCGCTTCTGGACCACCAGAAAGCGTCAGGACGACCGCCATTGCGGTCGGTGAATAGTACGGTGTCGTTGACGAACACGTCGTCGAGTAGTCGCGACTCGGCATTTCGAAGCCCGTCTGATACAGAGTGTTACCCTCGTACTTACAATAGCGCTCAGCATCGAATGTGTGTAGACGACAGGAGCTTGACAGATACGAGTGCCAATGACCATGACCCGATCTTGACGACTGCTTTGCCGTTTGAAGACGATTCGTCTTCGGGACGTGTGCGCGCTTGGACAGACGTGCACTCGAATGAGAAGTACCAAGATATGCAGGAACAAGTGCGCGAACTAGAGTCTCACGTACATGAGCTGACGTTGGCAAAATCTCGTATGGAAAAGAAGCTCGAAGATGCAACTCGTGTGGCTGCTGAGGCTAAAAAGGAGCGAAGTGCAGTTGAGGAGAGCATTGCAGAGCTTCGTGACAATCGGACGTTTGATATCAAGCGCATCTCATTAGGCGACGATGAAGACGACGATGAGGACCAAGATCACGACGTGGAGATACAGGACGATTTTGATAACAGTCGAGATGTCAATCGTCGGGTTTTGGTCCAGGATGAAAAGAAGATTGAATTGATTGAGGACAAGGCAGTGGACGTTGCCGAGACGTGCAATTATCTGGGGCAAGTGTATCTTGATCGTGGCGACTTCACCAGTGCAGTTGCGGAGTTTCGTAAGTCCGTGGCGAGTAATCGTAAAGACGTGGATGTATGGATTAATTTGGCGCGTGCTCTCCATGGTGCGGGTGAGTTTTACGATGCGGAGATTGCTGTCCGGCGCGCATTAGCCCTTGCTCCTAAGAACTACGCACCGCTATCGATACTGGGCAGGATTCTGCACTCGAAGGGGGATCACGACAGCGCAGTCAACGTGTTTCGCGAAGCGTTGGGTTTAATGAATCATGAAGAGGATTCGGACGACGATGTTGGCTCGATGACCGTGGGTTGGTAGGCGACTCTGAATGGAGCTAGCTATTCATCGTCATTGTGAGTACCATCGGTTGGCAAGTCCCGCGACCAGCACACCACACGTGTTGTTATTTAGTATGAGGGGAAGGGGTCGTTCGCAGCTGAAGACTTTGCAGTCTTCGTCGTTCATCGCAGGAGGCTGAGGCGCCTGAAGGAGGACACACACACACACATACAAGCGTACAGTAAGAACAAGCTGAAGAAAATATGACGATACCAAATACAAGCATTGTGTTTGAATCGATGTCGCGTGATGGCGATCTTCCACTGCATCTGGTACTGAACTCGTTGGAGGAAGCAGTTTTGCTCAACAGCTAGGGGGTCGGTCATTCGCTGTTCCCGTTATCTCAAATTAGCCTCGTGGTTGGGGAAGAGGTGTTTGATATGCGAACATGAGCTAGTAGTATACGCTCCAACTAGTCGGAGGTTTGCTCAGAAGTCATCGTCCGTACATCACACTTGAGTCAACATCACCACGTTCTTACAATATTGTTGCCGTCATTTAGCATCACGGAAGACGTTAGCAAATCTACAGAGTCATTGGACGTCCTTACAGAAACTGCCAGCCGCTGCAATAACGACAATAAATCTACGACGGCTCCGATATACAGCACCTGTCATCACACGGTCGTCGACAGCATACCTTCACCATCGAATGTGGCGGGCATCGAGGGTACAGCAGGGACGGGCCGTGAAGCTGCAGCTGCTGAAGCCGTCGCCTTGTTTTCTTCATCCAAGTTCAGCTGATCCACACCTTCCAGCAATTCCGACGCTTGACTTGCACGTGGGGGCGAGTCAAAAGTCATCATATCCTTCATCTCTGGCTTGCTGCACTCTTTCAGTATCTTCATCAAGCTATCATTCACCTGCTCATCCCAGCAACACAACATACGTCTATCGCGCAATCCAACCCAACAGAAAAGACAAAAGACCCACTTTCCACTACGCACATTCAGACACTGCTCCAGCGTGCGCTCATCGATCTTGCCCATGACGCCACCTTCAATCAGCGTGTTCATCCTCTGCTGACACTGGCGGAGAAAATCCAGCACGTCTTCCATCTCCTCTCCCTGCTGTCCACGGGCGTGCAAGTCCCCCAATAGCTTCATCTTCTCTTGCACCACGACCAGATCAGCTTGCAGCTTCTCCAATTGCTGCGCTCTCGTGCGTCTCCCCACCGTCGCATTAGCAGCAGCGCTCTCGTCTCCTTCACTCACAGCACAAGCCGATGTCGTCGACGACGGCGGCGTAAAGATCGGGACGTCGTTTCGCACCTCTGGAAACGTAACGTCCTGCTTCTGTAGCTGCTGATACACGTCTTGAAACTCCGTCAACTCGCTCTGACCTTGAAAAGCCTCGGCCCATTGACGGATCAGCAGCAGCGCTCGAGTCTGCACGTCCCCTCCCAGTCTCCCATCAGCAAGCGCCACAATCTCCTGGAGGAACCAGGGTGTACCCACTTGCGTGTGCAGCACTTGCGGTCCATTTTTTACCAGCGTCTCGGTCAGGATCAGAGCCAAAAGCGCCACTTTTGACTGCCGAAGCTGCAGCCGCCGCTGCAAGAAATGCACCACGTCTTCACACACGTCAGTATGCGCGTTTACACAGTCACAGAGCGCCATATTGAGCGCCCACTCGGGCTCTACGAGCGTCTCGTCCGTCGCTCGGTCCACGAGCAGCTCCACTTGCTCGGCCATGACCACAAAGCGGATTCGTGTGGCGCACACCGTCTCAGGCCGCTCGACTTTCGCCTGAATCGAGGTGCACCACACCACACCACCCGCGCGGATCGGTGTGTTTTTCGTGTGGTCGACACCATCGCTTTTATCCGGTGGATTAATTCACGCGAGGCGACGGACGTCGATTTGCCTCGGAGACGCGATGCTCGAGTCCCTTCTGCGCGCTCGCGTGCTCTACGGGGCCGTGGCCATGTCTGTGAGCGTGCTCGTGTTCTCCTTCTTGCAAGAGCGCGAGCAGATCAAGGACAAGAAATCCGAGTCGGCCGAGCGCGCAGTAAGTACGAAACGCTTTTTTGAAGCCATTGAGCGCATGTCGCACTTAACGACGGCCCAGCGCGTGGAAATCCAGCGGTTTTGGCGCAACTTAAGTACGAAAAAACACCCACAGCATCGTCGAACGTGCCGCGATTATCGACTTGGGAAATGCCACTCGAGTTTGTCACTGGAGACGGAGGACGAGAGGCGTGATGACGACCAAGTGATTGTGATGAAGGACGTGCAGGACTTTGCGCTGGAGTACACGCGCGTGTTCCCCACGACTTTTCCCGAGACTCAAGTCCTCGAAGCTGCTGAGAAAGCGGCGGATGCAGGCGAGCACGGAGGCACGGCTTGGAGTGGTCTTGTCGACAGCACGAGCACGATGATCGTGTCTACGGGCAAGCGGTTGAACCACATTGCCAAAGACACTAAAGACGAAGTGCAGTTGGCGATGCATCGGACCGTGCGGAAAGTGCTGGAGAGTGCACTCGATATCGTGGCTGGAAAGTTGCAACAGACGTTGAAAGATCCGGATATGCCGGAGTATCTAAAGGTGAGGTTATGGATAGGATAGGATACGGTTGGTTGGTTGGAAGGTCGTTTGGTTGGAAGGTTGGTTGTAGTATGGAAGATATTGACGTCTGTGTTGTAGACGAACATTGATATTGGCATTCAACAGTTTATGCCGGACGTCAAGATGGAGATTTTTCGCAAAACACGGGAACTATTTGGTCAAGGTGTTCAGGCGACCCAAGTCGAAACAAGAGATTTGCAAAATCGGGGTGAAAGAGCTTTGCAGCAAGGACAAGGAGATGCCTGTGACTTTCTCGTCACGAACCAAAGGTTCCGCATCTTTCGACGCCTGCGTGCACACATTCTGCACCACTTGTTTCCGCATGATAAGACGATCTGGCGGTCTCTCAGAGACCCATGGTGGATTGCATACACTAGTGCAGGTCTTCTACCTGTGATCGGCCAGTTGTGGTGGATCTTTCTGTTCCTCATAAAGGACAAGACGAACGAACATCAGTTGTGCGAGTTCATCGTGGGGTTCAAGGCTGCGCACTTTATCACGCTGGGCATCATGCATATGACGTTTGGCGTCTTTATGTATGTGACATGTATCGTGCAAGGCTCTATGCTAAGCTGCCAAAATGGCGGTGGTCCTGCACTAAGTGAGGGAACAGCGTGCTTTTTCGCGTTGCAGATTCTGCTCGTCTGGGCGGCATTCCTTCGGTTACCTTACACCGAGCGTCCAAAGGAGACGACACCGTATTCGACACAATCGATGGAGCAACGAGAACGTAGCGTGTTACGCGATGCATTTGGTAACGAAGTGCATTTGAATCGTGGTGGCTACCTGATGAAGTTTTGCGGCTACGAGACAGTATCCTTCATCGTAGTGATGGCCCTTGCGGGTCTTGTGCTTTGCCTACCATTCGAGTCGTGGCAGCGTCGAGCGTTGTTCTACTGGATTCGCACCGCGTATGGACTCTTTTCGTTCCCTTTCCTGATTTTCAAGATTCCCGTGCTGGCAAAAGTGTTGATGCACACTCGACAAATGGGTTACAACGAGTTGGGCGAAACCGTGCGGTTTGTCGTCAAGAAGCGGGTTGAGTGAGTACTTAAAATATGCTGCAAACGAGGATCTGCGATTCTAACTTGCCCACGCTGTACCTTGTCGGTCATTTAGATGATTGCGCGCTCTCGATTAGTAGGTTTGGTCGATCTCTTATCTTTGACGAGGAAGCCACTCGACCCGCATCCATCTATTGCATATACAGGACGCCCGGACCGACGATTCAACGGCAGGTTACAAGTGAAGAATGTGCAGGCAGTATCGGGCTCAGTCGACCGCCTGATGTAAATGCAACGTTTGTCTTTCGTTGTCATTTTGCAGACGCTGTGATTCCGGGCCAAAGCTTTGTGTCAGCGCGAAAGGTAAACCTATCGCATGATGCATATCCTCGTTTTGAGTATACTGCCGCTGGTCATTTGGCGAGCATATTTACGAACTCCAAGCTTGAGTGGCACGAACTCTTGAGTGGTCTTGACATCGTTAGGACGCTGTGTGAACAGTGCTGGTTTTCTACTGGAAAAGCGTTGAGCTATGAGAGGTATACCTCGTCACTACTTTGGCGTGAGGCAAGTCAAACGGATGTGGTGTGTGGTGGGCGATTCTGTACTTGTTTCTGCTTCATCCGATGCATCAACTAGCATCATTTCCCAGTGCTAAAGTCTGCTACTTAGTACGAGAGAGGATGGTTTAGCGTGTTAGTCCTTACTCGACCACATCATTGTTAAGGCTACCCTCCATGTCTCCACTTAACCCACTGATCGTAATACTTCGAAAACCCAATGTACATAGGATCCGACAATTTGTCTTCGATTTCGTGAAGGCGAAACCTCGAGAAGATCTTGTCGGGAGTCCATTTCGCTGTGAAGAGCTTAGCGTGGCCCTTCTCGCCTTTCAAAAGCATCGCTTTGAGCCACTCATCGATCCTCTCAGACTTCTGCTTCCTCGCAGTTTTCACGGCGTCGTGAAAGCCATCAACAAGTAGCTGCTTCTTGATCTTGATCTTCTCGCGTGCAGTTTTGAGCACTTGAGGTGTGAGCCGAAGTTTGTTAAGCACAGCACTGGTTGTCGGATTGTGCTCGAAATGATCAACAATGTCGAGCATGTTATCACTTAATTGCTTCTTGACAACAGCTCCAGCACTGTTCGTAAGAAGCGCGAATGCAGATACCAGCAGTATGGACTGTATTTGCATCGCAAAGGAGGAAAGAAGTTGACAGGTACTTTAGATACTTCAGCCGACGTGTCGGAGTTGCAGAGGAAATTCAGGAATGACAGTGCGATTGGCGTACAGCACGGTACGAAAAGCTGATCCAGCACGCTGGACAAGTTTGCCACGTCTCTTTTCTCCAGCAAAGGAGCTGGATGTCAGACATTAGCTATCTGTCAGTGTGCAAAAGGATGGACTTGTTTCCTGGTAGCAGACGGGAGTTTGAGCTCGCATTCATTCGATCCTGGAGATATCTAGTACCGTGTGGGTGTGAGCGATCCAGTGAAGAATACAGTTGGCTGCTAGGATGAATTGCATGGATCGTGCAGGGCATTCGAACAAGGAGACAGTTGATATCCGTTTTATGAGCAGACCAGTGCTTTGAGATGCTAAAGCTTTGGTCAATCGTTATCCTCGTCATTCAGAAATTGGCAGCATAGCTGGGCTTCATACGTGAAGTAGTGACAAGCAGATGATGCATGAGGCTGTAGCCAAGACGGGTACTCGTCTCCGTCCTCGTCCATGCTAATCCTTGATTCCCGGGCATGTAGAAAAGACGACGTGATTGACGTCCGGACAACACACACCTGGAGCGAATGTCAAGCTACAGTCAGTACGATCACTGCTGCAGTAGTCTTCATACGGGTACAACATGACTGTGTCGCTACGACTAGTCCCCTTGCATCTGATACTAGTGCTAGGATAGAAGCGTTGTCTGCTTGATGGTTCACGAATCGGAAACGAAGAGCGTCGAGTCCTCGGTGACTGTGACGATTTCTGTGACCTCGAGGCGGCTCTAGGCAACATGTTGCCGTCAACACCTTCAATTGCCATGATCCCGCACTCTTTCTGTCGGGGCTACCGGGCCGCGCCGTAGGTATCCACGTGTAGTAACTGTACATTGTCGAAGTGGGAGGCTCTTCCAACATCTGTGCATGCTAACTCGCAATAGTTAGACGAACAGCTTGCGCTCAAAGCGAGCGATGCTCGTACCATGCACGTTGTTCCTCCATTCCGATATGCAGAGCTCTACTATATTGTTTCCTGCTGACTAGCGCTCGATCCATGGTGGAAGCGGTGACTTACTGAGCGTTTGTAGAAGTCTTCTAGTGAGCGAGCCAGCACATATCGGCTTTGCATGACGTTCGAGAAGGGCTCCGGCCCAAAGCGATGTGCTGTGTTTGCACAGCTTGTGGCAAGAATGGGATGCACAACTACGTCTACCGAGCATAGCGCATCTCCAAACCGAGAAATCATGAACGCGACCGCAGTGTGATAACATCAGGGTGGAGGCATTTGCTACGCTTCAGCCGCCCATTGTCGTCGCGCTGTATGATCTTGTCAAAGAGAGTCGGAGCGTCAATCAACAACTCAACAACAACCACAGTAGTATCAACTGTGCTGCAAGTCTCACATTATCATGACTTAGACGCCCCGCTGGCGTCCTACTGTGACTTCTGCGTGGAGTGTTCTATAACGTGATCCGGTACGCTGGACTTACTTCAACCTGGTAGTAGATGCTTTTTGTCCACGTCAGTGTACGGATCAAGTCGCAGCTTTTTGAAGCAGTAGATAGAGGGCTATTGCTGGTCGTAGCTTTCTCTTCGACAAACTGGCTACGACACTGAAGTTTCCGATGTTTGTTGTGGTGCATAGTGTCAATATACCTTCATATCTCTGCACTACTAGGCCACGTCCTCGGACAGAACCAGCAATCATGTTGTAAAGCTGTCATTGCAGATGGCCAGCGTATCAGCGTGTAAAAGATGATCATGCTCGAAGACTGCGACGAGCGACAGCATATCGTAAGGAGATGTTACAATCTTCGAAGGAGGTGGTCGATCTTCGTACGTCGTCGATGTGTGCGCCTATGGTGGAGACGGTGTAGAAAAAAGTGGCATCCGATCATGTTCCCCAAATCCACTGCACTATCATCGATCTTTTGTCTTGGGTGCTGCTGGGGTCACACGAATGTCGACGTTATAGTTGTTGACACTGCTACAAGAGCAAATTTTCAGACCGGTCATATCGATAGATAATGTTGTCAGGAATCATGCCGGCTCCGTGCATGGTGTGACAGGCCGGTTTGGGTGTAAACTGCGTCACATCAAGGCTCAAAAGGCTCTTGGTAATGCTAGTGACCGAGATGAGATGTGGGCGGACAGTGCGTTGAAAGCAACATGCACTTTACAGGTGTAGGTGGCCTGAACGTGTCGTGGCTTCGGATTCCTGGATACATGCGCAGAGCTTCTGTGTGTAGTAAAACGACGCTGTTCATGATCCCAATAAAGATCGGTTTCACGCCACGCGTGCTACAAAGAAAGCCACGGAAATAGTCGACCACGCAGAGGGTACGGACACGAAGAAGATGTCACCCAGCTGAACAATCTAGCAGAAGAGCTCAAGTCGGGCAGTCATTGGTTTTACTCAGCCTCGCCGCAGCTCCAAGTGTTTCAGGTCAACAATATGTGACAGAATTGCCTTGGTCCACGGCGCTGCGCTAAGTTGTAGACCTGATGCGGTAAGTGTATCAACCGGAAGCGCTGTCTCAATCAAGATCCGTTTACCAAATGCTTGCTGTGACTGCTTGCTGGCGTACTGGACGAAGTACGTGGGAACTGATCCAGGGTTGTTGCGAGCCCGAAGGGCAAAGCTATCAGTGACTGTGGGCAGGAGTGCATACCGGACCGTCAAAATCCACTTTCGGTTCCTCCTTCTGTGTGCTGCGTATAGGGAATCGATAACTACCAACTGCGGATTCGCGGACCACTAACCACCCTCTTTACCTTGACAATCAGAGTTCTTGATCTGCGTTTACCGCACCCGTCCAATGTACTTTTCAGACTCAGTACACCCACACCCGTGCCCACCCACGTTCGTTTGCCCAGTTTACCACCAGAATGAGTCTGTACAAATAAGCCTCTTGCACCGCAATCAATAGAGTCAGGGAGGCGTCAAGCATCCACCCCTCTCTTAATAACTACCCATCCCTCACACTTATGATGCCTTCATTGGTCGACGTGCAGAGCGTGGTCTCCCTTGTGGACGGCCACATTGTCTCTGCTCGGAGCTGGTAAGAATAGACGTTCGGCTTTGGGGTCGACCTGAAAACAGGAGGTCATGAAGCTCGCTGCACGCCAGCGCTTAGCTATCGTCACTGCCCAAGAGGCGAGCGAAGAGAGCAGCGGTTGGACATGAAGGGAAGCTACGACGACGACGATGGCAACGACTGTTCCTGCCTTGAAAGATGGATACTTTATTTTCCTCCGGGTTGGCGACTCGATGGCAGATCGATATGCGTGCTTCGCTGAAGTAGAGAGTATGTGTCGTATGTTTACCGAGACGCTCAAGGTTGTCGAGGACTTAAACGCCGAGGAAGTGCTGCAGCGGATGGAGCTCACGGTTGACTCGTTTGAACAAATGTGCGCCTGGGAGAATGATCTCGACTTTAGGTTTCCCGAGAGCAGTTGGCGGGGCTGCGCGGCTTGCCTGTACAAGGGAGCGCTGGTCGCCAACCTGTCGGTCGTAGTTGTGCGCGAAGTCACAACCCGTGCACTGAAGCTCAAATGAAAAGCGTTAGGAAATAGAGGAATTACTGGATGCGCTAGAGGTTAGCTCTGCGTAGGATAGACATGCAGGCACATTTCAGTAGTAATCGCGGCACTTTTGCTCCTTTCACGCGGAACCTCGTCCGGAGACGTCATGGCGACGCTCGATAACGCGTCCTCACTTGAGTGTTCATGTTACCTCAATTATGGCTCCTGGTGAATTGTCTGCAAGCAGTAGGCCTACATACTGTAAACAGTAGATAGTCGGGAAAAGCAACTGAAATCAGCTTAGGCATCAGCAAGAGAAGCATGTGCTAGTGTCAGGGACGGTGGAAATGGCATTCATTTGAAGGAGTTGGAGGAAAAGGAATAGCTGCAGGAGAAGGTGAGTGAGTATACGTTCGTACCTGCTGAAGGTGGAAAGTGTTCGTTTCCAGTCCTAGTCTGACTGATCAGGGACTAAAATGTTCGTTGAATTTCTTTCTGTTGACCAACCAGGGTATCGTAAGTGTGAAGGGGTGGATAGTTATTAAGAGAGATGCAGATGCTTAACGCCTCCGTAAAGTTATAACAAAATTATTTTGCTGAATCTTTTAAGCTTGCGACGTTATGCCCACCCACGCCCACCCACACCAATCGCCGGTCGCATCCATGACTATAAGCATCGTGGGTGTGGGTGGTATGGGCGTAGTTGCGGCGGGTGTGGGCGCCCAATGTGGAACTCTGTTGTCTCTAGATATTTCTAGGAGCCTTCTGATTGAGCATAAACAAATGTCTATTTACAAAAGTAACTTCCGACCGTGTGCTTACAAGATTACAATTCTAGATCAAATTATTCTGACGCAATATATTTATCGATATTTGCATGAAAATCGATTTATAATTTATTTCTTGATTTAGTTACAGACATTGTTTTTCTTATTTCAACGAGTTAGGTCACGGATGATTTTATAATTTAATATGCCCCATTTAATAATTTGACAAAAATGCCTTCGATAAATATAAAATAAAACAATGCCCCAATTAATAACGAAAAAAATGCCCCAGATAATTGGAAAAAAGCCTTTTTCAAGTATCTTAAAAAAAGGCCCCTGAAGATGAGAAAATAATAATCAATCTAGGGCGTTTTTAAATTTCGTGGATAAATGGGGCATTTTTTATTTTCCCTTTTTCTACTGCTCCATAAATATACCGACAGGGTGTGCCGAAGGTAATAGTTGGAGGCACGCCAACAGATTATGGACGGGATCACTCCAATCCTACAGCTTTAACATCTGGGAGGATTCAGTGCGACACCAGCATGCTTAGAAAGCGATGGATCGCGCGTCTTGTCCTGCCGACAGCTTATTGAGACACCAGAAATTCTTCCACGACCTTGAACTCACTCTGCCTGCTAGTTTGTATGTGTGTATGAAATATGCTTAATGTGCCTTAAACGTCGTTCTATATACGATATAACATAGATACGCATTATAGGTGCAGCTTTATCCTAAGGTCACTACTTGCGACCTCATAAAAATTACTCAACATGCAAATGTAGATATGTCCGCAACTGATCGTCCTAAAAGAGACTAAGGGAGAATAGAAGGCTAGTAAGCAAATGACCGACACATAGGGTAGCGAAAATCTCGCATCTTTTGCAAAAATAGATACAGAGTACTTTAGACTTTAAAACTTGGTAAACAAATGGTTAGTAAGAATTTGCGGTCATCCTTCTCTGTCCGAGGCTGAAGAATCTAGCTCCAAATGGATATCAACTGATATTTTTAACCGCATGTCGCCGGCCACAATTCTTGGTGACGGTATCGACAATTATTCTATCTGTCCTCGTACTAGCTTTTGCATTATATCAACAAATAACAACGAGTAGTTTCGACACACTATATATTATCAATTTCGTCTTTTTTAACATAGTGAATAGCCCATCTCTAGCCACCACTCGAATCGGTATGTGAATTTACATGATTTTTTTCTGTTTACTAAACTGAATTGCCCGTTTCAAAGGCAAGCTCCACATCTTGCTACCCCATCCTACTACACACCTTCGTGTAACTAAAACCCATAGATTTTCTCGTAAACTAGTCAAATAACATCTGCCTCGTTTTCGCAATAGCGATGTCCACGATGTTTGTTTTCTAATTTCGAGCATTTCTACATTCTTGACCGCACAAGCAAACATGATTTTAGCTGAATCCTGAATCTATCGTGGAATGGGATTAAAGTGTGATCTGAGGTTCTTTCTGTAGAGGAACAAGGCAGAAGAAGGTGCGATAAATTGAATGGCATGTATGTATGAGGAGGAGAAACATACGACTGTACTATGAGGACTATCAGTGTGCTCCTTGCGACGCCAGCATGTTCGTCTTGTGTCACCATCAATTTGTGGAGGTGAAAACTGTGAAACGAGTAGCTAGATTGCAAATAGCGGTTATGTCATATTCGCATAACGTCATAATCCTTCAAGAGAGTTCGTTTGCATAAGAATATTCGGCGGATGAAAACTTGATGTTGCGTGACTCTCCGATCAAGATTTCCTGTCCCATAGCTTTATACAGATTAAATCAAGGATGGACCGCCTACAATTTGATAAGTCTTGCCGTATAATTGTTTTGGGACGCGGAAATGACTTTCTTGCCCAGGCTGTAGAAGTGCTTAAGTCGGTGTGTATTATAACGAGTTCTGTCAGCAAAAATCGACGTGTGTTTCCGCTTACGAGGTAACGACATCTGTCATCGTTAGTTGCCGAATTATCATGTCCTTTTTAGGTAACAGTTTGGTCAGGCGATTCGTTTAGGGCGCCGTTGTAGCTTGCTAGTATAGCGAATGATGCTTAGTGGGCAAATTTCGTCCAGTTTGCATCATCATGGACATAGATCGCGATAAGGTCTCCATACGTGCGTGTTTACATTTTGGCGTTTGCCTAAGACCTTATTTTGGTTAGTGCTACATCTTCAGTGATGTAATTGCAGGATGATTTTGTAAACATTTCACACGTTATATCTCCTCGAGATCATGTACGACTTGGGAACACCCCGGAGCCTTGGTACCACTGATCTGTAGACTCTCGAAGAATTATAGACTCCCGACAAAGAATGATCGGGGGCCTTGGGGCTGGCTGGAATCAGAAATTTGGCCAGTAACATGTCCTTCATGCACCACGATAGCCGCAATCCAGGACGGGATGTGTAATCGCTATCGAAGTGGACATTAGATGGTCGTTAGAGCATCTAAATGTACCGGCTGTACTGAAAAACATGCACGACTCGCAGTAAGGGTAAGTATCTGTATTAACATTAGCGGTCAAAGATTCCTGATCTTTTTAACTGCAATCAGAAATACTTGTTGGCTTGCTTTATTGATGCCAAAAATTTTCTGTGTACAGGCCGATGAGGTCCACACGCACTATATATATTGTTGGACTGATTGTCACGTAACAGGCGGTACTAAGACATGTGCTGTTTACCTCCATGCAATTTCTCGCTTCTTTACTTCACATGATTACGCTAAAACCGTTCGATTGCCGAGATTGTGTCAGGCCATAAAAAGTTTGTTCATATAGACTTACAGCGAAGGTCACGTGCGGGATAGGTATTCTATGGTATCAGACGTTCAGATCTTCTTGAAGGGTGAAAACGACTACAAATTGATTCTTGTCAGTGAGACTTGAATGATTTGAAGTTGATAGTCCACATTGTTCTTTTCCGATGAGTCATCCGTCCTTGATCTTATACGACATACAGCTCTCTTCTTGGTAATGTACCAATACTGGACCATACATGACGCAATCATTTTGATGTTGGGAGAGTAGAGGCTTCACTTGTTTCGACAGCAAAGGTTTGGTCGTGACCTTGTCGAATAGTATTCGTGAAATTGCATAAAATCAACGCTACTTTTGTCGTTAATGTACTTTATCATGCGGTGGTACTCAGCAAATAATAGCCTTCAGCGCTTGACTCGTAAGCTTGGTTTTGTCGGGAATACAAAGTGATAGCAATATGTAAAGACCTAAAACCAAGAAATTCTGTTGCATGGTAATGTACTTGTGCGATATCTCGGGGATAGAATTGTGGTTCAAGATTTTATACTGTGAACATGAGCTAAGGCTTTGTTAGGATTCTAATATAGAAAGCGATGGTTTTAGATCCTAACGTAGTTACTTCTTCAATGTGTTTCGCTTGCGTATGATAACACGTTAAATCTTGTTCAAAATCAGAATATGCTAGTCATTAAGATAATTTGAATGCCAGTCAGAACGCTTTAGAGGATGCCAGATCTCTCGGCAACCCTGTCAACATGATCATTTGTTGGTAAAACGGTGCAGAACCTTTGCAGGGTGGGATTTCGTTATATGAAATTTCGAAGGACATAGATACCTCGGGTTTCACGCGATAGGGATCTTACAAATATGTTTTGAATTCGTGCTGAGGTTTAAATTCCAACGCGGACATGGTGAAAAATACGTATTCCTCCTCTTTCCATATAATATTAAATAATAAAAAGGATCCCATTTCATCACGAAATAAAAAAGGAAACCGTAGATCTTTCCTTTGTTTTCGGATAAAGCTCCTCAGTTTGATAACTCTACATGATGGCATTTATGGAAATGCCTCAAAGGCATATTATTACTATAACCGATTTTTGAGCATCACTTGGCCTTGTTTCAGTACATGTCACAACCGTTCTTATGCGTTCTTTAGCGCGAGATTTTGTCAAGCTATTCCCAATAGTTTGCGGGATCGAAGATGTACGTCCGCAGATGCCTCAACCCCGTACGTTTTTCTATGGTCGAGGATTATAAAACAGCGAGCAATCCCCATAGCGCTTAAAGGCAAAGGTTTCTGCGCTATTGAGTGGTAAGACTGCATCATTCTATATCAGTCATTTTGGCGCATATTCGGATCGTTCGTTTCGCATGCACGTGTCGCGAGATATATCTATTTTCACTGTTCCTTAATGTACATGTTCCTGTTTTCCTGTGCTATTCCGATTTTGTTATACGCAATGTAGGCCAGAATAAGAGCA